CACGAAAAGTGAATAATTAATTGTGAAATCAAGAAGTACTCATGATTATGATGATGGGAAATACAATTTGTGTGATGATAAGACAAATATCAAACAACCGTGAACTTTAAAAATTAATAGTTTCAAATTATAAATACGGTCTTAAGGCCGTATCGCCAGTCGTTCCTACAATAATTGTAGGACGCCTTTATAGCCTACTTGATTTTCATGGTCTTTTCTATCCTTCAGAAAGTCTGGGATATTTCTATTCCGTGTCAGGGTTAGCGCTTTCTTATTGTGAGGCTGTTTTCGTTTTGAATCGAAGGTAATTTCAGGCTGTATAACAGATGATATAAATCAAAATCTTGAACAGTTTGATGCAAAGGGCTATTTGTAACACAACCTCAAAGTAGAGCGCTGACACGGAACAGTAGAAAATCATGAAAATCAAGTAGGCTATAAAGTCGTCATATAATTGTAGGAACGACTGACGATACAGCCCTTAGAGCTGGAAATGTTCATACACTGTCATTTTTATAGAAGCTGGTGAATAAATTTATATCATACTATAATCGTGGAAAATTTCAAAAATGAGATATGGTTTTATGGATATTAAATGACAAGTACATCGGAAAAAACCAGGTCACCCATTTCCGTCTATCTGCTGTCTGTCTTACGGTCTGTCTGTTTGTGGGTCTGTGTCTGCCTGACCGCTAATCCTTGGTACGTCTATAAATTGGAAAGTACTTGTCGGATTTTGATGAAATTTTTATACAAGGTGATCATTATGCCAAGAAGGAAGGATCGGTCTAGTGATGGTGGAGTCAAGGGGCAAAAACACAAAAAACATGAAAATCGCTCACACTTCGCTTTTTGACGTTTCAGAGGCTACTGATCATTTCAAGAAAAATGTTTGTAGCGGTTGAAATTTGAGTGTTGGGGGTTGCATTTAGTGGGGGAGGGTATATCTCATTTTTTGGGCGGCAGTATATTGATGCGCTTCCAAACCCAGTAATTATACCCACTCGTGTACTAGAAACTGCAAGGAATTGTTAGGATGTTGCTATAGGTAGATCATGTTTGAGGAATATTAAGGAACATTGGCAAAAATAAAATTTCGTTTTTACTTCCTAAATTTTAGAAAATGTGATATTAAGTTTTTTGGATGTTATATGACATGTACAGCACGAAAAACCATGTTTCTCAGGTCCACCGGTCTGTCTGTCCGCTCATCTTTCGAAGGACTATATCTTGGAAAGTACTGCTTGGATTTGGATGAAATTTTCACACGAGATTGCTGTTATGCATCGCCCGCGGAGGCCTGGATCTCGACATATAGTACTGTGACTGGCGCTTATGACATGCCTGACTGGTGTGGTTTAGCAGTGTTGCCAGATGGTCGATATTTAGAACAGGGAAGAAACTAGCGTTAATGTTATCAAATGAGTGGGGACTATGGAACATGGACTAATTTAATTATAAATGGGCCTGTTTGGCTAACTTGACCCACTCAATTTTTGTGTTATGAGTGTTCTTAACAACATTGTGTAGGAAGTACGGAGTGAACCACCTTGACGCCATTTTTTTGTAAGTCATCAATAACAAATTTCCGTTTTCTCTCTTGAACGGTTAATTTTCAAGTTTTAACTAGCATAGTGAAAAATATACATGGCAAACATATTCATTGTTTTTTGAAAATAAATACCGGCTACTTCGAAAAATGTTCATCCCAAACCTAGTTAATATTTTATAAATAGAAAAGTAGATATGCAATACTTTGTTGGGTAACTTAGTTAATAGAGTCAAGAAAATACGAATTAAATGAGGTTCAGAAGATCTACGTGGTCGCTCACAATAATGTCTATGGAAATTCCAAGACAAATTAATGATTTTGACATTAAAATCTTAGATAGCATTTTAGACAGTCTGCCTAGTCGATGAAAAAACTGAAATACTGTAATCAATGATCAGAGAATTGGTCTTTACTCACTCATGATCTAGTCTAATCATATTAGACAAAAATACCCCTGGTTTGCGAAATAATTGTAAAGTCTGGTTTTATTGCTGCAAGTTGTTCAAGGGGGTATTCAAAACGACACATAGAATGAATGCACCAATTTTTGTGGGAAAACTTTTTATTCGACAAGAAAGAGAAAACAAAACGTGTTTTTTGGAGTTCAATCGAAAGTGTTTTCAGGAACAAAAAAACTCTTCATATCAGATTTCTAAGTATTTATGAGACCTACAAAATGGGATCATACGTGAAAAGATCCGACTATAGCAAAAAAATTATGGACGAAAACCGAGGCAAACTGCAAGTTTTGGCAGTTGTTGGTAATACGACGATGGTTTCTCGCAGATATTTGAAATTCTTTAAATTCGTAGGTCTCGCACTTCTGAATAACCACAAAAAACTGGAGCAGATTGGTCAAGTAGTTTTTGAGATAAGCACGTAGCCAGGGGGGGCTCAGGGGGCTTAACCCCCCGAAATTCTGAAAGTAATTTTTTTCAGATTTAAACATAAAAGACAAACTGAGAAAATTCAAGTGATCTCAATCATATTATGTAAATATACTAAGTGACATATAAATCCGAACACCCAGTTTAAATGGTTTTATTTTAATAAAATTTTGTATAAGTACTTAATGAAGCATAATAAGTAAATTTCAAAATGATTGCACTGCTTTAAAGCCCTTTGACCTTTAATAATGAGTGGATTCACCCTGATGTGCTACGCGCCTAGGCATGCTTCTGATCAGGTGGTCAATGTCCTCCTGTGGTATCTCATTCCAGGCAACCACCAACTCCTCTCGAAGTGCTTCTAGAGTCTGAGGAGGACGTTGCAAATTGAGCAATCTCCTACCCATCATATCCCACACGTGCTCAATTGGGGATAGGTCGGGAGATCTTGGTGGCCATGGTAACAATGTGACATCATTATGTTGAAAGAAGTCTATTGTGACTCTTGCAACATGTGGTCGGGCATTATCTTGTTGGAAAGTTGGATCTGCCAGGGTGTCAAGATAGGGTAAAATATGGGGTTCTAGAACTTCGTGGATATAATGCTGCGCGTTCATGTTACCTCTGATGAAGATTAAAGGTGACCTGGAACCATAAGCTATAGCACCCCAAACCATAACTCCAACAGTGTGATGAACATGTCTTTCAACAAAAAACTGTGGATTCCTCCTTTCACCACGTCGCCTTCTAACCCTGGCACGACCATCGTGCATGCCTAAACAAAATCGAGACTCGTCACTAAAGACAATACCGTTCTATTCCTGATCCCAGAGTGACCGTTGTCTGCACCACTCAAGGCGTTCTCGAGTTAAAGGGAGGACCCAGTGTGGCCGGTATGAAAACAAGCCAAAACTTCTCATTCGTCGCTGATGAGTTAGACAACTTAGCGCCATACTTCGACGATAAGCTATCATCAACGGCAGTAAAGACAGAATATAGGTTGTGGTGTGCGAAGATATCGTCCATTGATCAATCAACCGAGGTTTTAAAACCGTTGGAGTATTGCAATGGAAATTATTTTCACGGTATCAGTATACTTCTAACTACCATAGCCACTTTGCCAGTGACAACAGCTAGCGTAAAAAGATCATTTTCTACTATGAAAAGAATTAAAACTCTACCGCGAAGTGTTATGGGCCATAAAAGATTGAGTTCACTCGCTATGATATTGGGATATCGCTGCCGATCCTGATCACGTGATAGACATTTTATCGGAAAAAAATGTAGAAGATTACTTTTTTAATCATAAGCCTGCTTAACTCCTCCCCCCCCCCTCCTTAACTTTAACCTTCCTTCGCACCGGTGACTATGAGCCTTGTGCAATTTGTAAGTAGACTCTGCAAGCCCCCTCCCGAAACCAAATCCTGGCTACGGGCCTCTTTTGAGAATTTCTCATTGTTTATCCCAAAACATCTGTTTTCCGGCCATCACTACTACTTTATTGGGCAATATACAGGGTTAGTTCAACAGGCATTTTATAGCAAAGTACACTACTTTACCTTGACGATATGAATCGCAAACCATTCCGGAAAATAAATGTTATTTTGATGCAAAAAAGGATGGGTCACGTTTTTTCTTCTAAACAAATTCAAACATTTCGTATTTGTGAATAATTCGCAAAAAAGTTGATAGACACATCCGCTTTGTTATAAAATACGTATAGTAACGTATGTTTTTCGAGTATCGTAGCGCAGTTGTTCAATTACTCACAAATACGAAATGTTTGAATTTGTTTAGAAGAAAAAAAACGTAACTTTTGTTTTTCGCATAAAAATAACACTTATCTTTCTAAATGATTTGTGATTCATATCGGCAAGGTAAACACGTGTATTTTGCTATTAAATGCTCTTTAAACGAACTCTGTATATTGCTTAAATAAACTAATAGGGATGACCGGAAAGAAGGTGTTTTGGGATAAACAATTGGAAATTCTCAAAAAACTACTTGACGAATATACTCTAATTTTGTTGTTGTTATTTAGAAGTATGAATCCTACGGATCTTAAGAATTTCAAGTAATTGCGTGAAATTATCGTCGAATTATCAACAAGTGCCAAAACCTGAATTTTGCATCGCTTTTTGGCCATAGCACTTTTGCTATTGGTCAGATCTTTTTACGTGTGGTCTCATTCTGTAGGTCTCATAAATACCTAAATTCCTTATTCAAAGAGTTTTTTCGTTCCTGCCAAAGCTTTGTTGTCCAATAAAAAGTTTTCCCAAAAAGATTGATGTACCCATTTTATGCGACCATGCTTTAAATACTCCCTTGAATAACTTGCACCAATAAAACCAGACTTCACAATTATTTCGGGGAAATTTGCTAATGTGATTAGACTAATCAACAGTCTCTAATAGTTATCGCTACAAAAATCACTAATTGGTCATCAAAACAGGCGTCAAGGCCTTGCAATAGAGTCGCTAAATAATTTTTTACCCTTAATTCAAAAATCTTATTTTTTTTAAACAAGATTTCCCGCAACGACATTATTCAACCAAAAATACCTTGGCGTATTGTTGATCACGGTTTTATTATCCATTTACGGCAAAAACATCGCGTATCTCACACCACGACACTTCGCACTACGATCCACAAAAACAATAATTGCAAATCGTTTGCGTGCGTGCTCACTACGTCCTGCGACGCTGGTAACGCGACGTCTGGATGGTCGACGTCTGATGCTTGGTACGATTCGCGTTTGTTTTTGTTGGAGGCTCGTCCCCGGTCTACTTTGATCAGAGCTGAGAGGAGATGAAATAGTCGTTTTAGTATCTTACCTTGACGCTCATGCTGTTTTGAGAAAGGCCATCAACACGCAAGCACCCGTCGCTGCAGATGTTTTCGGACGACGGCGACGGCGTTACGGGAGGCGTTGAAGGAGCGCCGTCGCGACGCCTGGGTATCGATCGAAAGCGTCGGGTATCAGTGGCGGAGGGTACGCGATTTTATTCCACGACATTACCGAGGGACTTTGAAACAATTAGATCTTCCATGCACGTAGTTTATGGTATCATCAGGGAGGCTTCTGTGTGAGCCACACACATGTCCTACCTTCTCGAGCAATATACCATATACAGGGTGTTACAGAATCGACCATCGTGGAAAAATACATTCGTTCAACTTTCTTGGATAATCTGCAATCGGTTGTAGGAGAACTTACGTGCTTATTTAACTTCCTGAAAGCACGAAATATCCATTAAATACTAATTTAATATTATTATCTTTTTATTTAATAAATATTTGTAATATAATATTTTTATTAAATATTTATTCGATATATTTTAAATATTTTAAATAAAATATTTCACTTATAATATTCATTAAATATTTACTTTTCAATCAATAGAAAATATCAAATCTCCAATATTTAGAAAATATTCATTAAATATTTTCGGCTACGGCGCATGTGCGTGTGACCTCGAGCGACCAATGGGATAATAGCAAGCCGGCCTGAGGCGACCCATTTGCCGGCATCCATTCCACCTGTGACTTTCACTATGATAGCGTGCTTCCTGTGTACCTCCGAATGGTTCATTATTTGAGTGTTCTTTTGTGGAAAAGAATAAGTATTCGATAATTACTTAATTTATCTGACTAGTAAATATTATTGTGCCAGCTGAGTATGAAGGTATTCACAAGACCATAAATAACTAGCCTTGAAGTGTAACAATTATTTGGTATTGGTGGATTTATCTGAGAATGGATACAAAAATTATGTTGATAACATCCCAATGAAAATACATATAATCGCAACTTGATCGAGATACATCAAAAATGCTTTTTATAATATCTCAATTATTATTATTATTTTTGTCGTAGTGCGTTCAAAAATTTTAACAGTCTAAAATACTAGACTTTTGTCCCTTGAATTATAATATAAAATCACAAAACAGTTAGAGTTAAGTTAGCTCACTTACTAAAAAAAAGTTACATTTCAACAAAATCAATAAGTGGTCTATTTTCAAAAAGTTAGTCAGAGGATCAAGTTGTGCCCATGGACATTTTTCATCAAGATATCTAAAATAACATACGAAATTTTCTTAAATATTAACCAAATCTCGAACTATCATGGGCAGAAAATGTGGGATCCTTTTAGGTGTATTATAGAGCTGCTTTTCAGTGACCCCGTTGAGTTACGCGGAGTAACTCACCATGCTCTGCACCAATATTGTTCCACTGCATTTTATATTCCCATAAATACACTGTAAGTAAGTTTGTTTTTTTTTTCAGAGAAGTGGACTTGCAAGATGCAGGAGAGGCTTAGACTGCTTTTTAAATAATATCTTTCTAGCGAATTAATCCATTATAGGTATCTAGAATGGATTTTCTTTATAAACCCAATTTTATATAAGCATTCCTACAGGTTTTGCTAAAATAACCAATGAAGAATTTTCTATATATGTACACTGAAAATATGTATCAGGTTAATGCTTGAAAATCCATACATATTTACGAAACATATTAGATATTTCATCAAATTATAAAATTGATATTTAAAAATCTTTCCTCATAAGTTTCTAAATATTTGGAAAACATATGGCAAAAATGTATGAATTATATATACTACAAATATCTATAATGAGTATTTTATAAATATATAAGAAATATATTTATTAAATATAAAAAAATCTTTGCTAAACTCTGCTTTTCAAAAAGTTTTGGGGGCAAATACACTTTCACTCTCTTGTCGATGATCGCCCCCCTTGATAAAAATGCCTGCGGACGCCCATGCACTGAACGTGGACAGGTATTTCGTGGTGTTATTTAAAGTGGGAGGAATCTAGTAACTTTTATGACATGTTTATCCAGAATACGCATCTACCTTTGATGAAGTATTTTTAGAAAAAAAGCATCTTGGTAAAAACTGGTCTTACGAGGAGGGAAAAGAATTTAGGCGCCACTATCGCAAAAGACTATCGTGTAGCACATTCTCGTAGAAGGCTATTGTCAACATTTCAGCCGTAGTTTTGTTATGACAGCGTGAGGGAGCGAAAAAGCAATATCGGTCGATGATTCGATTCTTGTTTTTGGAAGTGAAATCGCGGAGCGAAATCAAAGAGCGCTAGGATGATGCGTACGGTGACTCTTCTCCTTCGATGGCGACCGTTAAAAATTGGTTTAACGCGTTTAAGCGCAATGCGAAGGAGTTTCTGAGTCGCTTCGTGACCGTCGACGAAACATATGGATCGACTGGTACACACCATCAGAGACCAAGGAACAGTCGAAACAGCTGACTTTATACGGAGAATGTGCTCCGAAGAAGGCAAAGACTGTCCTATCGGCCGGAAAGGTGATGGCCACCGTTTTCTGGAGAAAGGCAAAACGAGTCACAGGGCTCTACTATGCCGAATTATTGGACTTATCTGACGTAGAATTACAAAAAAAAAACGGCAAAGAAAAAAGTGCTCTTCCACCACGACAACGCACAGGCCCACACCGCCGCCGTGGCCACGGCAAATTGGTCGAATTAGGCTACGAACTGCCGCCCCATCCACCGTATTCTCCAGATTTGGCCCCGTGCGACTTCTTTTTGTTTCCAAACTTGAAAAAGTCACTCGCCGGGAAGAAATTTGAGTCGAATGAGGAGGTTAGCGCCGCCACGTAGGCATACTTTGCAAACCCCCAGAAAACGTATTTTTCAGACGTGTTAAAGAAGTTGTAACATCGTTGGGTCAAGTGAAACGAGCTAAAAGGAAATTCTGTAGTGAAATAAATCACCACTTTTCCAAAACTTTCGTTTTTCTTTTGTAGGTTAAGTACTTATCAGACCGCCCTCGTAAGTGGATTCTGCACTGACCGACTCATGTATATACGCAAGAGCTATTCGAAACCTAAGTATTTTAAATAACTATAGATACAATGAAAATGCTCTTTTTATATCCAATACCTTTTTTGGAATGGTTAGAAAAAATGTAGACTTGATTGTTGGATGTTTGCAACCTACTGATTTGTTTATGGCATAATATAGTTTTCAATTCGCTCAAAATATTTCATTTTTAATTTCATAAACTTTTGCGAATTGAAAACACTCCTTTACCCTCCGATATTAAAATCATTTTGTTTTTTTACTCCTTCTGTATTTTGTTGACAAAAACAATTTGCCCCCCAATAAACTTTTTTTAACTACGCCACTAGGTAGGCTCACATCGTCCTTGGAACAAAAGTGCTAAAGATAACATGGCCACGCAAGACAAGTATTGAAATATACTCTACTAGACTCTAGAAGACTATCCATAGCGAAATTTTTCTCGAAATCGTTGCACACCGCTTGAATTATGCAAATGAAGATTGGAAAACTGTTGCTTTGACGTACTAAATGTCTTCGTAATTACGCCGGGATAGACATACGTTTTGGCAGTTGACCTTGTCATTCTTGTCACCTAGATTGCGGTATTGCCAGCTCATCGGACAATTGTGCTACCTCTGATATTTTGCTAGAGTATTATAAAAAACAAGTTTCGAATAAAATATTGAGGGTACCAATGGAGATATATAAAATTTGAGGCATAGCAATGTTTTCCAAAAAACTAAAAAAGCTGTTATTTACATTTTGCGTCGCCTGGCGCATATGCGGCAGAACGTTAATGTCTCTGAACACTTTTATAAATGCCCAGTTTTATAGGATAACATACTTTTTGAATATACTTTTTCCAACAATTGAAAAAACAATGTTTTATTATATAAACATATTTATTAACCATTTGATCTAAAATTACATGATCATTAATAGAAGTACGATTTTCATTTTCTCTACTATTTATTAGGGGATTATGTTTTTTTAGTGACTGCATTCGCACTTGAGTGAAGAAAACCACAACCGTCTTTGCTAAGATTAATCATATGAGGTGAAGAAAAATCGAATCGTGCCACAATTCTGGCTTCATTTGTACAATCGAAAATCGCCAGCATACCACTAGTATTAACCTAAAAAAAGTAGCATTGAAGCAACGGTTTATACAAGGGTCATTTTTTTAGGTAAGAACCGTTTTGTAATCCAGTTAGAGAACTACTGAAAAAAAGTAGCTAAATCGAATAGAGCTCTGCACGGAACTGTGAACGCGTAGACATTCCGCAGCGCCGACGGTTGTCGAGAGACTGAAGCGTGTGAGTGCTGTACCTCGCTGCGGCGATACGATACGGTTGGATAGTACAGCCACGCCCCTTTCCAGGCCCACTCCGCGCGTCTGGTCCCGGTCAACGTAAAGCTGCAGTCTCTCTACAACCGTTGGTGCAGCGCAATGTCTACGGGTTCACAGCTCCGTGTAGAGCTCTATTCGGTTTAGCGATTTTTTTCAGTAGAGGTGTTCACTATAGGGTTCTCGACTGCTTCTCAGTGGTGTTTTAGTGTTGTGACATGGGTGTCAAGTGGAAATTAGGTCTTCTTCCAACTCTTCTGAGGGAAACAGGATATATGTGCAGCAAACGGTGAGCCTTGCATTCTCATCTACTTGTGTGTTAGGGTTGAGATATTTTTTTAAATTAATTGCGCACATTGAGCGATTAGTCATATACTGAGGTATTTAGGAAAAACTAAAATTTGGCCAACTCGTTTTTATTTTTATCTGACATTTTAAGAAATGTCAAAAAAAAAATAATGTCACTATTTAGGCACTACATAATGGTGTTCTTTTAAAAGTACTACCCTGTATCTAATAGCATCTTTTTCTACGACTTCAATGATGTATCACGTTACATTTGTTTTTTAAGTTATAAACAAACGTGTTTTTTTATATTTTTTTCATTTTATTTAAGTAGGCGTTGCAAACAAATGCTTGTTGTAAGATTGTGTGATTACTGAATTTAACCTAGTCTGATCCTCATCTTGCCCACCCTGTAATACATCAATATAATCAATACATAAGCGTGCACTAATCTAACGTTCTTCTAGCAAGGCATCGAACAAAAGACTATTTTTAGTCCACGAATTGGTGATAGAAAATAGCAGAGGTGGCAAAATCGGCCGTTGAACCGGCAACGCTGCAATGCAGGTGACAAGAATGACAAGGTTAACTTTCAAAACGTGTCTATCCCGGGGTATCAACAGCTTTGCAGCGATTTCGAGAAAAATTCAGCTACGAATAGTTTTTTAGAGTCTAGTAGAGTATATTTCTATCGTTGTCTTGCGTGGCCATGTTATCTTTACTCGGGCCGGTTTTAGTACTATAATTAAATGATCAGACCATTTTTCGAGAAGTTATTAATAGTATTGATGGAATTTTTCTAGAGAATAACGGGAATTCGGGAACAAGAATATTTTTCAAAGTAATGCTTATCATAATGCTTCAAAAAGACCATCTAATAATATCTAATTATCCACATAATAAAACTGTTCTGTGATTTTGTCCTTTTTAAATTCGAATTTCGTGTCCCGTGGTTGCCTGTCAGTGTCACGTTTTGGGGTTATATTATTGTTAAAAAAGATAAACCACTATATAATTGTCATAATTTGCATAATTTATCAGTGTTAAATGGATTCGAATAAAACGCAAACATTCATTTTAAGCGTCAATGATTTTGGTCAGAAGATATGTACGTCACAGTCGGAGCCAAACAAGAAGTGAGGTTATCTTATCAAAAATCAGGAATTTTACAACAAATGAACATAACTTTCAGGTATATTCTGGACGACGAAGGTAACATGACCGAATATCAACCAGAGACATCAATTTGCGCCGTTAAGTTGGACAGTCAAGGCAATATTAGTGAAGAGAGCAATGATACTACGAACACAGAGGAGAATGAGAACTCACAATTAGCAGACACTACACATCTAGGTATGCATTTTATACTGCACATAAGCTACTTTTTTATTGAATAAAGAAGGCGATATCCCAAGATCACAGCCTTAGGTTCCATTAGGCCCCTTGCAGCATCTTTAAAAGTATTTGGTCATTTGGTGTTACTTGAGGTTGACCATCCTTATTTTTTTCAACAGTCTGTTTGAAGGAGTATGCATAATACTAACTTGTCGTCTGATTGTGTGTTTTTGAGATAAGAATAACTTGTATACACATTCTGGTTATTACATTTATATTTCTCTACAATAGTTCAGACGCTGCAAATATTAGGTAAATTAGGTTTTCTAAACTTTGTGTTACTAGGAAAAAGGGATTGGATGCAATACATTGTTGAATTAAGTAACACCACATTTAAAGAAATTTTTATTTTTTTTTGTTAAACAGGCATTATGAATGCTTTGGATGGTGTGGCAGAGTTTGAAGAAAACCTGATGAATGAGCTTGATTCAGACTTTATGAACATGGTGCCAAACCCACAATCTCAATATATAATGCAGCATATGGACATCAGAGAACCACTAACAAAGCTGAAAAAACTCATTGAGCATCGACTTGGTGTTGGATTACAAGGATATATCTTTGCACTGCAGGGTGTACAAATGGTAGTGATTTTAATACCACAATTTAGGTTCATGTGATTAGAAGAGGGTGACTGTTTGAAAAACTGCTTACATCTATTTCAAATCAAGAATAGTTGAGAACTTTTGGTTGACCTGCCTACCTAGTTTATTGTTAAGCTTATTTGATCATCTTTCTGCCTTCACCTCTGTCAAGGCAGTAAAAAATTTCTAAAATGAGCCATTATGTTGTGTGACGTGTCTGCGAATACCAAAAGCTTGCCAACTTTTGGCCTGATATCGTTTTTAAATAATAGTACTATTCGTCCCCTACTGAGCGAGGGCCGTGGCAAATGCTTGTTCCGGGAAGTCGTTGTATCCAGTATACAACTTCTTCCCGTCCAAGTGATTGCGCACGCGTTAAGGAATACCTCAGTACCGATTGCCGGGTGGCGGTACAAGTCCGCCAACGGGCCACTTTAGGTCTATTTAACATCACTAATACGTAAAAAGAAGGTGGTAGACAAGGACCAGTCGACCGAGGCAGTACCACCCGGTAGCTTTTCCCAGGGTGTCTTATAAATGTCCGCATGTTTCCACACCTAAGCTATGCAGTCGGTTATCTACCAAAACAAAGAAATTAATGATGATGGATCCCTCGAGCACTAAAAACTCCGGACGTAAACTCACTCCACTCTCGGAATGTCCGGGTGGAGGGTGGGCTCGAGGGAACAACATCGAAGATAAAATTTGTTTTTCGAACATCTGCGGGATCAACAGCAACATTGATGCTGTTCATCACTACCTGCAATCCAATCGTCCCGCCGTGCTTTTCTTGGCGGAGACAAAAATCTCAGAGGCTGCACCGATTAACCATCTCAACTTCCCAAACTACGAGGTGCACTCCAATCTGAGAAAGAACGGGGGAGTTGTGGCTTTTGTCCGCAGCAGTCTTTCCTGCTCCAGGGATCTTTCTTTGGAATCAGACCGGAAGGACATTCTGTGGCTTCGCCTCAACTCCAAAACATCACCCAAATTTATTTGCTGCCTTTATCGCTCTCCCTCGAACCATAACTGGGATGACCTACTCGAATACCTCGCCGTCCAGATCGACTTCCTGAACATCAATCACCCCGCTTCAGAGGTAGTTCTTCTCGGTGATTTCAATGCCCATAATGAGCTTTGGTTGGGCTCAAATAAGACCGATGCAGCAGGTCGTGCAGTCGAAGCGTTCGCTCTTACTCAAGGGCTGACCCAGCTGGTGACGAGCCCTACTTTTTTCCCCCGCGTCTCGTCACACGCCAGTAGCCTGCTGGATCTCTTTCTGACCACGCATCCTGCCCCTTACAGCACTGCCGTCCTGTCCCCCCTGGGTAACTCAGATCACGGTGTTGTGGAGGTTAGGTTTCGGTCAGAAGCCGCTGTGGCCGCAGAAACTCGGACAGGCCGCAAAACTTGGCATTACGGACATGCCGACTGGGAAGGGCTCAGAGACTTCTTCTCTAGCTTTCCTTGGAGAGATGTCTGTTTCACTGACGCGGATGCGTCGACTGTCTGTTCTTCAATAACCGAAATTATCCACGTCGGAATGGAGGAATACATCCCTCACACAGTGAAAGTTCCTAAACCAGGGTCCAACGGCTGGTTCAACAAATCGTGTGACACTGCTCGCCAGCAGAAGATCAAGGCCCACAGAACCTACTTACAAAACCCCACTGTAGAGAACAGACAAGCCGATGTCGAGTCCAGAAACAAATATAACGAAGCGGTTCGCAATGCCAAAACCCAGCATGATATAAAAGTTAGGCACAGGGTAATGTCGCAGCGCAATGGCAGTCGGTCTTTCTGGACGCTGGCCAAGCAGATTGAAAAGAACTTCTCACACAGTAGTCTTCCACCACTTACGTGTCAGGATGGAACTATTGTATTCGACTCAAAGGCCAAGGCGGAAGTGCTAGCCAAGATCTTTGCTGCCAACTCCACCATGGACGTCCCCACCAACGCCCAAGTGCCGTCAATTCAAAGGGTTCCCCACACTATGCGGGAGGTAACATTCAGGCATAAGACCGTAAGACGAGTGCTCTTGTCGCTCGACATCAACAAAGCTTCTGGTCTGGACTTGATTCCTGCCATTGTACTGAAGAGATGTGCAGCTGAGCTTGCTCCAGTTCTTTCGCGTCTCTTCCAGATATCTTATGAATCCGGCACCTTCCCAGAAAACTGGAAATTTGCTCATGTACAGCCCATCCCAAAAAAAGGATCTAAAACCGACCCTTACAACTACAGGCCTATAGCTCTGCTTTCTGTTATAAGTAAAGTGATGGAGAGGTGCATAAATCGCGAGCTTCTGGACTACCTCGAACGTCACAGCTTGATTAGCGACAGGCAGTACGGTTTCCGGAACCAACGATCCACAGGGGACCTCCTAGCTTACGTCACGCAACTGTGGAGTAAACTCATCCAGTCTCATGGTGAGGCTCATGTCGTTGCTCTTGACATCACGAAAGCGTTCGATCAGCTGTGGCACGCTGCCCTCTTGAGCAAACTTCCATCCTACGGCCTCCCAGAAAAGCTTTGCAGATGGGTGGCTGACTTTATCTCTGGCCGTAAGATATCCGTCGTAATTGACGGATTCTCCTCTTCATCCCACAACGTCAACGCGGGTGTTCCCCAGGGATCGGTCTTGGCTCCAACACTGTTTCTCTTACATATCAACGACCTCCTTTCCTGCACGATCAACCCAATCCACAGCTTCGCCGATGACAGCACTCTACATGCAGGAATTCAGAGTGACAAGCCGATCTCTGCCGCTGAGCTGGAAAAAAGAAGACTAGCGACGACTTCTTCTCTGACAAGAGACCTGGAGGCTATCAGTGCTTGGGGACGCAACAATCATGTACAGTTCAATGCTTCCAAAACACAGTACTGTACTTTGACGAACAAAAAGCGTCCTAGCGCTCATACAGTTTCGATGGACGGTCGAGTCCTACCAAAGAGCCATTCATTTCGGCTGGTCGGAGTCCAGATCACCGAGGACCTGATCTGGCACGAACACATCTCTTCAATAGCTGCAGCTGCTGGGAAAAAGCTATGCTATTTGTTTAGGGCTAAGAAGTACTTTTCTCCGCATGACCTTCTCACTCTGTACAAGGCCCAGATAAGGCCTAGCCTCGAGTATTGCTCACACATTTGGGGTGCTGCCGCCCCGACTACATTGTCCATGCTCGATGCTGTCAAGAGGAGGGCGGTCCGACTGATCGATGACTCTTCTCTAACAGACAGTCTCGGGACTCTTTCGCACCGGCGGGCCGTCGGCGATCTCGCTCTTTTCTATCGCTACACCTACCGGCTGTGCTCCTCAGAGCTCTCTTCCATGATGCCGCCGCGCGATGTGCCTGCCAGACAGACCCGCCTGACTTCGGCGTCCCATCCTAACCGTGTCAAACTTCGTACATCCAGAACTGGCCGATACGACCGCTCCTTTGTCCCGAGGGTGTCTAGATTGTGGAACAAACTACGGGAGGAAGCTTTTCCCAGTTCTACTAACCTTAAGCAGTTCAAAAATCGTATTAACAAAATTTCTTTGGGATCATCATAGCAGCCTCGGTGTTCCGGCATTTAGGCTTCTGCCTGCGCGGCTGTTTCGATATAAAAAAAAAAAAATTCAAGGTGTTGTAAAGCAAGGTTTCAACTTTAATTTAGACACTTGGCGACTTGGATATTATGATGTTTAACAGAGTTTTTATGCCTCCCCAACAATAACCCAAATCAAATTTGTTTAAACAATTTAAAAACATTTTTGGCCTGACAAATTTTTTCTGGTTTTTTGGATCATTCCGAACAAAAAAGGATTCCATTCATTTTTGTCTAAGTCTGACTATTTTCGAATTATAAGCAATTGCTTGAAGTTCGTTTTTAACGTTTCAGATAATAATTGTAATAATAACAACATTTATTCCCTAAATTAAAAAATTGTTCAAGAATGTTCAAATAAATATGAAAAATCTACAGAAGACATTGCCTGTGTGTGGATTATATAAGATCTTGCTAAAATCATATAATACATATCTATGTATATCTATAACAAATGTATTTACATACTTTTGAATTTTGCAGTTTTGGCTTTGTATATAGTTATGTCAGTACTTGATCACTTATGATAAAAGTATGGGAAAAATTGGGGGGTGGTGCATTGTAGGAGGGTGGGAGATGGTATACTTCAATTTTCTTTACGTTGGTATGTTTATACACCTCCAGCCGCGGTAATTCTACACACCTGCTAAACGTGTTTCATTTGTTATGGATTTCCCATACATTTATCCTTAAGGCTGGTTAGGTAGGGGTAGCACATTTTCTCATGGAGCTAAATCCTAAAAAGCCCCAAATTGGACAGAAAACATTCTAAATATCTAAATTTTAATTATATTGTACCTCTCTGACTAACTTGATTTATTTTTTTTGTTATACATGCTCGTAGCTAAGTTTTCCTAAGAGGGGCCAAACAGAACAGTGCAGTGCAGAGTCTACCTACTTTACGCCATTTTTTTGATTATATTTTTATGCAATCATGCTTTTGTAGTTGGAAGATCATATGAACCTGGTAGATCAATGTGTCCAAGGTGAAGGTATTGTACAAATTAATGTACAAGTACAAACTAACTTGAAAAGAATTAATATCATTGATGTCTTGAAACCTGCTGAAGACTATGTTCATACAGGTAAGAATTCTAAGAATATTTGTGTGGAACAAGATAAGCCTATAAGATTCATTGCTTAATTGCTTGGTTATTGTAGAAGATACAGAAACCGATAACAACTCGGAAAAGGATGATGACCAATCTGAGTCTAATAATTCAGAAAAAAGAAAAGCTATAGTTCAGTGGCAAGTAGATTCTGGTTATAAAAAGGATCAGGAAAGATTAAAAATACCTTCAGATCCAAAGGACTGGTGAGTTTTATGAAATTTTGAATGTAAGAATGGATTCATGCATGACTTTGTGTTACATGACAATGAGATTTATATCCCTCATCAATTAATATTGACAATGTTTGTCATACAACCCTTTTCAGGACCAAGACATGTATTTGGAGCTCTAAAAGTAAAGTCAGGAGTCAGGTGTTTGATATAATCTTTTTCTTTTAGGTCAGAATTTCATGTGAGGCATTGGTTGATATGGGCAGTGAGAACTTTCAATTTACCAAACATAAAATTGAGTGATTGGGATATGAATGGAGAAAGGTTGATGGAACTTACTATAGAGGAATTCAAAAAAATTTGCCCTAATGATTCCGGTGATATCTTTTGGACTCATTTGGAACTGCTAAGGAAGATGAAAGTTGTGGGTAAGAAGCATGTATCCTGTTATTTTTCATGATACTAAAATTAATATTCGTTATACTACATAATAGGTGTATAATACAATAATTAATTTATAAATACTCCAGAATATACAGTACTTTGGTTTCTAATGTTAACTAAGAAAAATGGCTTTCTGTGTGGCCAGGGCTGTGATATTTAAACTATGAAAAAGATACTTTAAAGGTTATATAAAATAAGAGTTCAGTTCCATCAATCTTGAAACCAGGGAATCGTATAGATTGATAGCTCTCAGAGCCTCAGGGTGCCAGTTGTATTTGGAAGCTAGACATTTTTAAATTCTTATGGTAGTGGGCCACAACCTCTGTTTTCATTGTTTATAATATTTGTTATTGTAAAGATATGACAGACAACAGAAAGTAGAAAAGAGGGAGAGTGGAAAAAACAGTTGACATAAAAATTGCCATTGAAATCCACAAACATATACTCACCATGATAAACACAGGAACTACAATCCTGATTTTAGTAGATCAAATCATGCTAGTTTTAAATTATCGTTTCTTGATATTCTTCGCATTTACACGAAAATAGGCAATGTTCCAAATAAAGCATGATTTTTTATAATATTTGGATGGTTTATTTCCACAATATGACGATTTTTTTTGCAGAACATTGAAATACCAAATACTGCATATTCACCAATATAAGAGACACATATAATGAGTCTATACTTCATAGAACATGTTCTAGAACCCCCTAGATAACCAAGCTAATATATTAGCTGTTTTATATCACATAGGATTTATCTGTTTTTCTTTTTTTAGCAACAAAGAAACTGGATTCTCCGAAAAGTATGAAGTCAGCACAGCTAAAGGTAAATCAGACAACTGAAGATACATTCATTTTTCCTAATTTCATTATACAATAATTTCAGAATTCAAATAAAAGAGACATGAAAGCATTCAAATATGCCACAGCAGTGAAGTATTTTGATGCAGTGCATTATGCTCAAAATGGCAACAAGACAGTACTACAATGCAGTAATGGACAAATACAACTGTGGCAGTTTCTTTTAGAGTTGCTGACTAGCAGAGAGTACAGTAGCATAATACAATGGATAGGTAAATAAAATTTAAAATTCTACATAACTATTTTCAGTGTTTTTCATTTATCAGCTTTTTTATACTGTTTTTTTAACATGCTCTATGATATGTCTTTGCATATATGTAACTTTAACTGATACGTCCTTACTTATCTGACCATTCTCATACTATCTGTACCAGACCTTGAACAAAAAATTATCTACCTATCTATCTCACATTCTAAATGTATCAGATACATATCCCTACTAATATTATAAACGAGAAGGCGTGGATGTTTGTTACTCCAAAATGGCTGAACGGATCTGAATGAAATTTGGTGCGTTTTGATCACTCTTTTTCGTTCAAAGAGACTTTACCTAAAGTATGATAAAAAACATTTATTTTTCAGGTAAGGAAGGGGAGTTTCGTCTGAACCACCCTGAACTTGTTGCACAGCTTTGGGGAGAACGTAAAAATAAACCAATGATGAATTATGAAAAGCTATCAAGAGCTCTCAGATACTACTATGATGGGGATATGATCAGCAAAGTTCATGGAAAAAGGTATGCAGCAATAATATTATTTGTCAATAGATCAGTATAGTCACAATATGACTAAGACTATTAGACTATTGCAAATAAAAAGTCACAGCTAGCATTTTTTTGTTAAAAAAGTTAAAAAGTCTAATTTTCCTATATCATTTTGAATATTTAAGCCCGAAATAACGTAGTAATTTTAGAATATTTTTCATAGAAAATCAGCTACATTTTTTTAGCAGATAAAATATAATCGCCTAGTGCCTTACCAAAATGAACTCGTTTTTGGTTAGGCATATTGGAATATTTTTGATGAAAAATCACCTTATCCAATATCCCAATATAAGTTCCGTTTCGGAATAGCCCAGGCATCTTAGAATATGTTCTAATAAAAAATTGTAGCTCAGATTTCTTTTGCAGAAAAGTTCACTTTTCCTATGCTATTTGGAATCATTTCTGAACATGTGCAAATACTCATAAAATGTTTTTATTATCGTAAATTCACTTATTGTGAGAATAATTGAAAACTTTTAAGTACGATGGTGCTGCTAGCTGCTACTAGCAGAATTGATTGAATTGTACCGTTTGTTCTTTTTTTCAGATTTGTCTATAAATTTGTGTGTGATTTGAAACAACTCTTGGGCTACAGTGCAGTAGAGCTGGCGAATTTGGTGAAAAACGGCAATCCTGCTGATAACTCCTGAAGCACCGTCATAAAATTGAATAACATTGTTTAATTCTTGTTGACTAATGATTAAGATAACATGCTGTGATATGTTTGATAATTATTAATAAAGTTGTACACTTTTCTAATACATCGCACTTTTATTTTCATGTTTTGTTGTGTTATCAGAAACCTAGTTTTTTGCAGTACTGTTCGCACAAAGATAAAATTGGCGTCAAGTCTATCCAAAAAACAGAAATTGCATCTAAACTTAATTAGGTATGTTCATGTTCACAGTACAGTATGATTTACAAGTCGTGACCAAAAATGAAAAATCATACACAGGACCGCATTTTAGTGGGGGTCTTCTATATAACATTTTTTCCTCGAGCGCTGCATTAAAAAGATACGGGGTGTTGAAGATTAGTATATCGTGAGCCTTTGACTCAAAACTACAGAAAACAAACCTACCATATTTTTGTTTCTGGATCAGAATAAGCTTCTTAATAAGAGAACTCCTAACCATCTATGAATTTTACACTCCTCAAAAAAATGAGCAGGAGTTTGAAATTTCGAAAAACGAAGTTTCAGTAATTTTAATTTTTTTTTCGCTATTTGTCCGTAGCTTCACCGCCACTGGTTCAAGTTTCAAAACCCACAAAGATTTGCTTGACATGGTTTTTCGTGATAGATATATTATGAAGCATCCAGAAAACACAATATCTCATTTTCAATTTTTTTACGATTACACTTGTCGCTAATTGGCGGGAGAAGTCAAAGTTAAAATAGAAAAAAAATGAATATGTCATCACGATTATTATATTTTTGAAGAAACCATACTTGTAATTAAAATTTTGTTTTTTTGCTATCTGGATTTAACAGGTTCAAATCAAGATGAACATATCCAGGATTTATAGGAAATTTAGAACTTAGATGAGCTTCAGGTTTTAAATTTCAACGTAAGCTTTGTTCCAACAAGAGATCCTACTAGTTTTGATACAGATAAAATAATTATTGTTAATTAAACTGCAGGTTACATCAAAAATCTTGGATATGCTATCACACCCTGTATAACAGGTCCAAGAATTAACTGACATATCGGGTATCTGTCAAAAATAGCCGTGTTTTTTCTTTTAATTCTTTAGGGCGTTAAAAAATTCTAAAGTCATGAACAACTCATATTTTAATTACATAAAATCCCGTAATCCTATTAAATTACTATCTAACATTTTGAGATACTATCGGAAAAACTCTCAAGATGGCAAAAATGTAAAAAAGCACCAGAGTGAACCGGTCATGCTAATGAATAAGGAAGGGTTTCTCGAAATGCAGAAAGTTGGAGAAAATCTACAACGTAAGAAAACTGTGGATGATGTTAAAATCACTCCAGGACTGAGCTTAAAAGTGTCGAGTGAAAGTGTCAAAAATACCTGGTCAAATGACAAACTGGGCAAAACTTCTAGTGGAATAAGTTTGACCAAGAAAAATAGTTACTTAGATTTGAGTTTGAAAGATAAATTGGTACAAATGCCTCTACGAGGGCTAGAAAACCGGAAAGAGATATCAAAGTCTCACTCATGTCCTTGGCAGAACTTCAATTTGGAAGAGAAACACATCTATCACAAAATCCGACCGGTGAATAATATTTCGCTGGAGCTTTACAAGAACAATAAAAAGTCGATTTTGAAAAGACCGAAGGTGCCCAAACCGCAGATAACAAGGTCTACCCTGATGGAGGTAAAATTCAACAAAGCGGCTGCAATGATGATCCACCCGAGCGCACGTCACAATGTGATGAGACAAGCTAGAATAAACTTGTCGACGAATACTAGGCACACAGTTGGTGATAATACTATTTTTAGGAAACCATCAAGTGACTTTCAGGTGCCTAAAGTGATTACTAATAGGAAGAAGAAATATTTTGAGGAAGATGGACGAGGACATTTTTGGTATATCAGCAAAAAGCCCAAAATTGTATAAAATGCGATACTTTCTGGGCGAAAATAAAAAAAATTGGGTGAAATTGGGTATTTTTTATATTGATACATGGTGTTCGGTAGGTCGATACCAAGCTTTCAAAAGGTGATAGTACACCCCATATGGATTACATTTAGCCACATTTATGAATATCTTAGTGAAATCGTTTTGTGAAATCTTGGAAAAAAGCCCGAAAGTCATGTGATGAATCATCGCTTGTTAATAATGAAGAGCAACCTATTTGTTCTCTTATTTTTATCACTTATCTTGATATCCGAGTGTTTCAAATTCATTTTTTCTTGACTTTATTTGTAGTGGGATTTTAAAATAAATTCCAACTTTTTTTCCTCTACAAAATCGCATAATTAGAATTTCAATATGAAGTCTTTTGTCCTCCAGCAGTACATTTATTTTTTTAAAGGCGCTATATTGGATTTTTGCACATGAGAATAAAGTTCAGTTCTGGTTTCAAAAATGTATATGTCATACATTGACATTGTCAAACCTTAGTTATTTCAAAAAACCACAATTTCCTGGGTAGGTCTTGAAATTATCAGATAGTCATTTGTTTCGTATACCATATCTCAAATTGATCATAGTAACAGAGTTTGGAAGACCAAGAAGAATAGAAATAAACCGAGTAGTGAACAATGTACAGAGAACACTCCACTATACCTTTTTATTTCCTTATAATTTTCATTCCAATAACAAACTCATAACGACTAAGGAAATATATCGCTAAATTAAGGACTGAAAAATCCATTTAAATATACAAAATTCCAATATAGCGTCCATATGAAAAAAGAATAGAGGTAAATAAATAAAATCGACAGCAATCACTTGACTCAGGGCCTGCTTCAGAATTTTCTGCGCCCAGAGGCAAAAGATGAAATGTATGCCCCCCTCCCATTAATTGAGAACCGATACTGGTATTACGTATCTTGAAAAGTGACATTATGTCGATTTTTTTTTGATATCGTAATGGTTTTTTGTGACATTGGGTAGGGTATTCTACAAGATGTTAACTTAGCACTAGCTGATAGACACTTGTGGACTCGTTTTGTAGTTGTATGTGTTGCCTAGACGTCATGATGCTTCAGTTATCAATGTTTGGCTCTGATGTGATGTAAAATCTGCTTCAAAGATGGCATTACTGGAGGTCTAAGCTGTAAGTCGTATACTGCAGATAGAAGGAAACGGCCAATGCATAGGTGCATAGTGAGGATGTGTGTGCTAATAATATGTGTTGATGATAATTCCATCGGAATCTTGTCTCAAATACACTTACTTGAGATTCAAAGCTAGAAATTAGTTGCAACCCGGCTGGAAGACGTTTCCAGATCGATGGATTGGTAGAAGAGGTGCCATTGAATGGCCTCCAAGATCGCCAGATTTATCACCTTTGGATTTCTTTATGTGGGGTCATTTAAAAAGCAAATTCTATGCTACTCAAGATCATTAGAAGACCTGCGACAAAGAATTGTGAATGAGTGCCTTCAAATTACTCCTCAAATATTGCAAAATGTGCAGAAACGTTTTGACCAAAATCTTTATTATTGCATGGAGAGTCATGATGGCTATTTTCAATATTTACTTGCCTAACGGGTCAGTTCATTCTTCATTTTTAAATTACTTTGCTGCCAAATGTATTGATCTCCACTAATGATGATGTATTAGTTTTATTTAAGCTTTAAATCAATAAATCTTCAAAACTACTTTATATCATTATAAAGGGACCTTTAAAATAAGGTATCACTCGACCCCCCTTTCCATTTAAGATTTCGGGGGTGGTGTCACCCCCGCTTAGGGGGCTGCACGTGCTAACGTGATTTTTTGCCAAACTTGTGTCCCCCTCGAAAACAAAATCGACGGGTCTGAGCGTTTTTCAAAAAAAAACTGAGCTGCCAGTAAATGCGTCTGTTTCGTTTTCGATGCGCCACCCTGTATATACGCATCCAACCTTGATAATTCTATGTACCTCTTAGACCTATTTCATACATTATAGATTTACCACTTAGATACACAGTGGTACATTGGTAAAAAATAACAATATAAATAACAATATAAGTGATATGTATTGTATAAAAATATGCATAAAAGTCCGGTTGGTCGGTAATTGTTCCACTTAACTCTTTTGTTATAAATATTCGTAGCTGACTTCTTTTACAGAGTCTAACATGTATCGATGTTTTAAAGCCTGATGACAGAGTGGCGTGGGCAGTGCAGAGTCAGCCTACTTGACGCCATTTTTTATACTCTTTAGAACTGATAGCCATATTCAAGATCAGTCCTATATTATCTCGATACAATGCGTTTTATTGGCTTTAACAACGGAAGACAAATCAATTTGGAATGTAAAATATTCGTAGTAAATCTAAAATATCCAAACCTATCTAACTCGTCCGAAATAAAGAACCTTAAAATTTCGGTGGTAGCGAGCACCCAATATATACCTAGAGTACTTCAGTCTAGACCACTTATAATATAGGATCATGTAAGCAAAACAACTGTTCCAGCATTCATCGCAATTCACCGTCTTTGTCACTGTCAAAGTTCATCATGTTTTTCTCACATCTTCAAAATTAAAAAGTACGTCAGTCAATATGTATAAATTAATATGTAGGAGTATTAACAAATCCAACAAGTCCTTAACAAAGTTCACTGACATTTATAAGAAAGTTAGCAAGAATCAGCATCATGCTTATCTCACCTCAGCTGCTAAAGGGTATGATGGAGAAGAAAAAGATAGATCTGCTGGAAGATTGGCCGAACTAAAAAGTGGAACATCATTCTCTGGGCGAGCGAAAATCACTTTCAAAACATTGCTGTTCCCTAAAAGGACTGGAGGACAATTAGGTAAACTTACAACTAAAAGTTTTTACAGTACCGGTCACAAACCTAAGGATGCTCCTCCCAAAAAATATTTCAAAGACAAGTTCGCATATTGTATGTATAAAAATGCTATGGAACAATGCGACAAAATAAGAACACACTCTCCAACTCCTGGGAACACCATAAACTGGAACGCACAATCAGTGAAGCCACTGTTCATTGAGGAAGAACGAAGGCTTAGCAAAAAACCGTCAAAACCGAAGTATGATGGCGCGACCAATAAACCAGCTAAACCAAAAATTGTCACCGAGAAGTACGTTATCCATAAAAAAACAAAAAAAGGGTTTCCTGCTACAACTGTAAAAATCGGAAACAAAACTAAAATCATCTATCCAGTCAAGAGACTGCAATATACTCTTAACCAACAAACTAGAACAACTCCAGTAAAGCGTGAACCTGCAGAAACAGCCAAAAAAGGCGAAATGTACCGAGTCAATCAATACAGTCACACCGTAGAGTTTATACCGAAAAAAATCGATTCAACAGAGGAGGAATTGAACAGCGCCACTTTGTACAAGAAGTATTACGGCAGAAGAGGAGGCAACTCTGGAGATTCAGGAAGTCAAGCATCAAGAGGCGGAAGCTCAGGAGGTGGAAGTAAGAGGTTGAAGGTCGACGATGATGCAGGGTACGATGTAAGTGGTTTTACCGACCCGAAGGTTGGAGCACCTGGTACTCCCAATCCAGGTAGTTCTTCGCATGGTCGAACGGGAGGAAATTCAATAAGGATGAAGACGCCTGGGACAGCACACAGTTCAGCAGTTGTAAGTATTGCAAAATTATACTTGTTACATTACTAGTAGGCTTTATTTTGTTGTATCAGCGTACTTTTGAGTCCCGCTGGAGTGAGTTTGTCAATCACTTGGTAATGTAATACCGTACACGGAATGTTAATTGGCAGATGAAATTTCACTCTGAAATACGGAATAATTTTATTTTCAGAACTCCAAAATTATTACCGAGGGATGTAATGACACTTGATATCAGCCCACCAAATTCTAACCATGCTTTGTGCCACCATTTTTTTCATTATAAGAAACGCTATGGATACGTTTATGGTGGAAAATACTTATTTCCCAAGGTTTTGAGCACGGGAAGAAAAGTCCAATTTTGACGTTCCAGAAGGTTTATTTTGTTCTATTTACGAACGCATGCTATTATGTAAAAGACCTAAAAAACGTCGGAAAAGGACGAGGAAATGTCATCTTGCAGTCTAGGTAGTTGCTGTTCACTGACGTTTAAGCAACACGTACTGCTACAAAATGGATTCACGAGTGCAAAAAGGCTTGCGCTAAGTTAACATATTTTAACCTACGTTATGTCACAAAAAATCTTCGAAATGTCAAAAAAACCGACGGGTATTACGCATATTGAAAAGTGACATTAGGTCGGTGTTTTGATATATCTAGGTTCTTTTTGATATTACGTAGGTTTTCTACAGGATGTTAACTTAGCACTAGCTGATGGGCACTTGTGGAATCGTTTTGTGGTTGTACGTGTTGCCTAAATGTCATGATGCCCCAGTTATCAATGTTTGGCTCTGATGTAATGTAAGGTCTGCTTCAGAGTTGGCATTATGCGAGGTCTAAGCTGTAAGCTGTATACTACTGGATGGAAACAGCAGTGCATAGGTGCATAGTGAAGATTTGTGTGCTAATAATATGTGTTCATAATAATTCCATTGGTTTTTTTGTGTCAAATACGTTTACTTGAGATTCAAAGCTAGAAATTAGTTGCGCATCCACTTTTTCTTATTCATTCTCGAAATTACATAGGTACGCAAATTTGCTGAATTTCAAAAATGAGAGAGATAAGAAAAGACAATCCCTGGTTGGTGAAGTGACAGGTGAGAAAATGCTACACACAGGAATATTAATGAAAGTGAAAAGGTTTTTTTACTTCCAGCCATTTGAATTTTATAGATTTTGCAATATGAATAGAAAATAAAAATCAGCGCCTAGATGTAAGGCACTGCGAAAATGTTTAGAGTGTGATGCATCGTTCCTAATTTTTCTGTGATGTGGTTTAATTGCATTCAACGCGGGCGCGGTGCGGATTTCCCGTAATGCACCTCAAAGTTTTTTTAAGCACAGAAAAAACGGTAAAAATCTTAATTTATAACTTTGAACATAACCTGTCTTCAGAAAGGACAACATACAAATAACCCGTCGGGCACAGCTAATAGATATACTTCATTGGCAGCATATTCAGTAATAGTTTTCTCACATAGCAAATATCACTAATTTTATACACATGCAGACCAATACACATAAGCATCCAGATGCGATCTTGCTATTCAACCAACTTTCTTCTCAGAGGTAAAAGCTACAGACACAGTCCACTGAGCCTCACAAAACGTATGCAACCAATAATGCGTGTATTTTAGTTGCGTGATTCCTCCATAGATGGACGTTCACAACGATCCTAGTGAGCAAACGTGTAATGAACTATTTGCACCCTAAAGTTTACCTACTCTACAAGATGACACTTTCTTGTTTTTTTTTTCACGTTTTATAGGTTACTTACATTATAGCCGTGCCGTATGTTCCAAGTTATAGACGGATTAGGGATTAGCGTACAGACAGTCAGACCGACGGAAATGACTGACAGGATTTTTGATGATGCGAAAAACATGCGCAACAAATCTCCAGCTTTGAATCTTAAGTAAGTGTATTTGACACAAGAAACCACTGGAATTATTATCAACACATATACTAAGTGACATATAAATCCGAACACCCAGTTTAAATGGTTTTATTTTAATAAAAGTTGGTGAATGTATTTATCTTACTGTAAATAACAAGTGAAAAAATTTTCAGCCTTATCAGTTGGACATTCCGGTTTTTATACTGCTTTTTTTTAATTCACTAACGCTCTAAAAATGAATGTTTCAGCCGCAGTAAAGAATCAACGTTGGCGGATTTTGGTTCTTGACATCCTTTACGATCGGTTACGATGCCTAGAGTACGGAGACCTGTACGATTTCGTCAACTTAGTGAGTTTGATAGGGGCCGTATAGTGGGACTTCGGGAAGCTGGACTTTCTTTTCGGGCAATTGCAGTTAGAGTGCAAAGAAGTGTAGACACTGTGGTTAGGTGTTGTCAGGCATGGCTTCGAGAAGGCCGTACGCAAAGAGCAAGGGGCACTGGACGCCGCCGTAGAACAACAGACCGTGAAGATCGCCGCCTAAGATTATTGGCCTTAAGGGACCGTTTCTCCACTACCAGGTCCATTGCAAATGAATGGTTTGCAGAACACGGAAGACCTATTGGCATTCGAAGTGTTTACCGACGAATGAGAAGTTTTGGCTTGTTTTCATACCGGCCACACTGGGTCCTCCCTTTAACTTGAGAACACCGACGTAATCGCCTTGAGTGGTGCAGACAACGGTCACTCTGGGATCAGGAATAGAACAGTATTGTCTTTAGTGACGAGTCTCGATTTTGTTTAGGCATGCACGATGGTCGTGCCAGGGTTAGAAGGCGACGTGGTAAAAGGAGGAATCTAAAGTTTTTTGTTGAAAGACATGTTCATCACACTGTTGGAGTTATGGTTTGGGGTGCTTTAGCTTATGGTTCCAGGTCACCTTTAATCTTCATCAGAGGTAACATGAGCGCGCAGCGTTATATCCACGGAGTTCTAGAACCCCATCTTTTACCCTATCTTGACACCCTGGCAGATCCAACTTTCCAACAAGATAATGCCCGACCACATGTTGCAAGAGTCACAATAGACTTCTTTCAACATAATGATGTCACATTGTTACCATGGCCACCAAGATCTCCCGACTTATCCCCAATTGAGCACGTGTGGGATATGATGGGTAGGAGATTGCTCAATTTGCAACGTCCTCCTCAGACTCTAGAAGCACTTCGAGAGGAGTTGGTGGTTGCCTGGAATGAGATACCACAGGAGGACATTGACCACCTGATCAGAAGCATGCCTAGGCGCGTTGGAGAATGCGTAGCACATCAGGGTGCATCCACACATTATTAAAGGTCAAAGGGCTTTAAAGCAGTGCAATCATTTTGAAATTTTTATCATTTACTTATTATGCTTCATTAAGTACTTATACAAAATTTTATTAAAATAAAACCATTTAAACTGGGTGTTCGGATTTATATGTCACTTAGTATATTATTAGCAGGCTAATTTTTAGAATGCAGCTATGCACTGCCGTTTCCATCCAGCTATAGTATACAACTTACAGCTTAGAACTCCAATGATGCAATCTTTGAAGCAGATCTGACATCACATCAGAGCCAAACAACGATAGCTGAAGCAAGATGACCTTTAGGCAACACGTAAAACTATAAAACGTGTTCACAAGTCACCATCAGCTAGTGCTAAGAGTACATCTTGTAGAAAAACCTAGATAATGTCACAAAAAATGTTCAAAATGTCATTCAATACAGTGCCTTATTTCATAAATAAATAGAGTATTGATAATTGTTCCAACTTATTAGATAAGAAAACGTGTTTGCACTTTGTTTTTGATACCTAAGCAATTCATTCGAAATAAGATATTAAAAAATTGCGATATCCCTTATGTCAATACATTTTGAGGGCATTCAAATCTAATCGTCTGGGGTGCATCCGCTTGAAAAGTTATTCTGATTCGTTTTGTATAATTCTATTCAAAAAGGACCGCTTTTAACAAATTTCTGTCACCAGACACAAAGTTGCGTCAAAAATTAATTGTTTAATTAATTTTTCAAACATTCCGAAAAAATGGTTTGCTTCGATCAAAAATATTTTTTAAGGTTTTGGAACCATTCTAAACAAAAAGGCTCTATATACTTTTATGACAGTTTTTGAAATATAAACGATGTATTATTTGAAGTGCAAATGAGCCATTTTTGACCACGAAATGGAAAAATGAAAATTCTAATTTCAAAATTTCTGAATAATCTTCAAACCTCTGTCAAGAAATCCCTGAAGTCATTCCAGGAGGTAATGTTATAAATGTATATTCTCTGTGAGCGGAAGAGAGTTGCAGCACAGCGGCGGCTGCCAGCCGCGGCCAAACTCGTGTTGGAAAAAGGTTTAACAGAATATTGTGCGTATTTATCGTGGAGATATCAACGGCAGACGAGACAAGAAACCCCTTTCTATGTATACATAGTGTATTTACACCCAAGATAGAATGGATGCGTGATTGCCAACAGCAAGGACGACATACAGGGCCGCATTCAGGGCTACCTCCTAATGATGGACTACCACCAACGTGTTGTAAAACAAAGATGACAGTATTTAACAGAAACTTAACAAATTACTCAAATACACTTAACAACAACAGCAACAACCAAGCAAGGTGAATACGAAAACACGAACACGCAGTGATACACGCGACGGACGGTGGCCTGAGTGCAACTCTGCCTGCCTTGCCCCTGCCCCGCGCATTATTCCGCCAGGCGGCCGCTTGAAATTTAATGGCGAATTGACCAATAAGAGGCGTTGTCCCCAACTGTTACCGAGAGATCACGCGCTAACTGTTATTATTTACATCTCATCTTGAATTTGGATTCAGTTTAAAACTATGGCAAATATTTCTGTTTTTACTTATCCAGTCATGATTATTGTTGCAATTTGTTAGACACGAAAACGTGTTTGCATTTCGTTTTTGATAAAAAATTCATTCGAATGCGGAAATAAAATCATACAATAATTGCGATATCGCTTATGTCAATACATTTTGAGGGCACTTCAAATCTAATCGTCAGGGGTGCGTTTTAAAACTATGCATTTTCAATGAATCAATTCAGTTGCACACTTTGCAATTCTCTCCTTTTTGACTTGAAGCCCGAACTTTTCAGAAAGAAGATGTCTTAATACAGAAACACCCCAAAATAAGAAAAGCAACGAAATACGGAAAGATGGATATCAACAAGAAGTACAATATTTTACTCAAGATGCATCAGAACAAAAAGAAGTTAGGTTACCACGTTGTTAAATCGAATGAGAGAAAAGGTAACATGATAGCATTTATTCAGTTGTTCGTTAGTTGATGTCCATTTACTACACTCGTACTAGGTCGGTTATTTCCAACAAGCAATTTCTGACTCACAAAAAATAATAGAACTCCCAGATTTTCATCCATATGAAGTCACATAGAGGGTGGCGCATCGAAAACGAAACAGATGCATTTACTGGCAGCTCAGTTTTTTTTTTGGAAAAACGCTCAGACCCGTCGATTTTGTTTTCGAGGGGGACATAAGTTTGGCAAAAAATCACGTTAACACGTGCAGCCCCCTGGGCGGGGGTGACACCAACCCTAAAATCTTAAATGGAAAGGGGGGTCGAGTGATACCTTATTTTAAAGGTCTCTCAATTCCCTTTATAATGATATAAAATTAATGTAATTCAGTTCAGTAGTTTTGAAGATTTATTGATTTAAAGCTTAAAGTAGACTTCAATAGGTACATCAGATTAGTACCTATGTACTACTTGCAGAAGAAATTTGACCAGAAGAATTTAGTTAATAAGTAAATGTTGTTGAAAATAGCTATTGGAGCGTTTTTTTGTCGCAAAAAAGTTATTTCTTGAAGAAAGATAAGGAAATATCTTGTACTTATTTTAAATAGGAATTTAGTACATAGTTTGCGATTGATTTGACCAAACTTTGTTGCTAAAATAACTTGTAACGCTTTATTACATAAATTAACCATGGTATATTCCACAGCAGAAAGAGTTGAAATTATCGAAATATTTTTCGGAATAATCAGCTAATAGAACAGCAGAAATATTTAATGAGCGACATGAGAACAGTAACGTGCATCGCAAATATCTTCTAGAACTTGTAGCTAAATTTCGGGAAACTGGGTCAGTCGCCAATAAAAAAGGCAACATTGAAAATCCAGTAAGGAACGAAGCAGTAGAAGTGGGGGTTTTAGGGCAAGTTTATGTAGATCCTACATTAAGTACCCGCAAATTGGAGACTGTGTGTGGTGTTAGTCGACGTACTGTCCAACGGATTCTAAAGGCCCATAGTTTTCATCCGTATAAAATTCACTTGGTACAAGAACTTAATGAAGACGATTTTGATCGGCGATTACAATTTTGTGAAGATATGAGTGAACGAATCATAAACGATGAACATTTTCTATTCAACACTTGCTTTTCCAACGAATGTTCCTTTTTCTTAAATGGCGTAGTAAATCGTCATAACTGCCGATATTGGTCCGATTCTAATCCCAGAATTTATCATGAGGTTCTTACACAGCAGCCACAAAAATTAAATATTTGGGCTGGTATTTTTGGCGACCATTGAGTTGGTCCTTTTTTCTTACCTGGGAATTTGACCGGTGAAATGTATTTGGAATTACTGGAAGATGCCATAGATACTACATTAACAGCCATAATTGAAAATCAGAATGATCGGCGGTACATTGCGAATAGGTTGATGTTCCAACAGGATGGTGCCCCACCACATTACGCATTACGTGTTCGACAATATTTAGATCAGACGTTTCCAGATCGAAGGATTGGTAGAAGAGGTGCCATTGAATGGCTCCCAAGATCGCCAGATTTATCACCTTTGGATTTCTTTATGTGGGGTCATTTAACAAGCAAAATCTATGCTACTCAGCCAACATCATTAGAAGACCTGCGACAAAGAATTGTGAATGAGTGCCTCCAAATTACTGCTCAATTATCGCAAAATGTGCGGCAACGTTTTGAGCAAAATCTTTATTATTGCATGGAGTGTCATGGTGGCCATTTTCAACATTTACTTGCCTAACGGGTCAGTTCATTATTCATTTTTAAATTACTTTGCTGCCAAATGTATTGATCTCCACTAATGATGATGTATTAGTTTTATTTAAGCTTTAAATCAATAAATCCTCAAAACTACTGAACTGAAGTACATTAATGTTATATCATTATAAAGAGAATTGAAAGACCTTTAAAATAAGGTATCACTCGACCCCCCTTTCCATTTAAGATTTTGAGGGTGGTGTCACCCCCGCTTAGGGGGCTGCACGTGCTAACGTGATTTTTTGCCAAACTTGTGTCCCCCTCGAAAACAAAATCGACGGGTCTGAGCTTATTCAAAAAAAAACTGAGCTGCCAGTAAATGCGCCTGTTTCGTTTTCGATGTGCCACCCTGTATATTCCAGTAGTTGTATCAAGGGCGTCGCCAAGGGGGGGGGGGGAGGCAGGGAGCAGCTGTTATGAATTACTAACAACGGTGTCAATATTCTATTACAGGTCATTTAAGAGAAAATGAAGCCCACCAAGCGGTAGATCCAAAGGCACTTTCAAATGTTCTAGAAAACCCTGCTGCGCAATCAGAATTACCAGAACTCATCGTGTCACATCCAGCAATGTCGCAGGAAGAGCCCCAATTAAACATGGATCCCCTAAAGTACCGCAAAAGTGTCATAACTGACAAAAATATAAGCTATGATATTGATGAGATATGCTTCAAGTCTAACGATAAGTCGGCACACAGAATACAAACAATCAATCGTCAAGCAGATTCCAAGGTGAATCAAACTGTTAGGTTGAAGGAAGAACCGAGATTTTTAGAAAAACCCAAGGCAACAGTTCAGCCCGAGTCATCAAGACGAGCGGTCACTCCAGAAAAAATTATGGAGCTGATTGACAATAGAAGACTTATTGGAAAACAAGATATCGCTGCTCGAAACCTTGAAAACTATTTATCGAAACTACAAATTTCTCGTGAGCAAACTTCTGTTGATAAAGCTACAAGGATACCAGTAAAATCACCTAGCTTGGTTCAAGAGGCAGAGCCGCAGAAGATTGAGAAAGAGGAGCCACCACAATCAATGAAGAAAGTAGTGAACATACTGCAACCTGGAGAACTATTTCCTAAGCAAGTTGTTCCGAGATCCTCAGCAGAAAATTTGGAGAAAAAACAAATCCAACAAAAAGATACTGCATCAATAGCAACTACGGCCAGTGTGGGTTTAAGCCATCAAACATGGCAAGCCAATGGTAGTCAAGAAGCTGACATAAATAAAAAAATACTAGAGAGCATTAGTGCTACGGTTTCAGAAAATATCTCCAAGAGATTCAAGTTAGCTGAGCAGAAACGAAAGGGTCGGATATCCCAGTTTGATAAACTCATGGAGCATAGTAATAGAGAGCTGAAGAAAATAGGATTAAAAAGCGGTAAAAGTCGAGTTAGAGGAACTACTACCAAACTTCGCAAAAAACCTAAATACCTTTTGGAAAATTACCAGCCAAATGAAAAAGTGAAACAGGAATTGAAAAAAGCTAACCTAATGAAGAAGCTCTTGGACACATATGCAGTTAAAATTGATTCTACGAAAGAGGCGGAGAGAAGTGAGGTGTTGTCAAACATGAAAATCAACGAGATCCTTACAAAAAAAGGTACACAAAAAAAGAAAAGGAAAGTCTTCTTGACTGATATGGAACTAGTCCCTACGAAAATTGGCAGCATTACAAAACTAGTTGATGAAAACGATGCGTCAAAAATGGAGAAAAAATCACGTTTGTTGACTGACATTGTAGTTTCGAAAAATGTGGATACAAAAGAAAAAGCTACAGAAGTGCAACCCTCTCTACGTACTGATCTAGGGCCTAAAGAAGATGTGCAGATGGATAACGTATCGAAGAAATATCTATTATCGGACTACTCAAAGTCAGACGATAAAAAAGACGGTTCAAGCGATAGTACAGCTAGTGCGTCTCGAAGAAAAGAAATAATTTCTCTAACAAAATCTCCTCAGCAATCTGATACTGATCAGAAAAATGTAGCCAGGAAAGATCAAGAAATACTGAATAGTAAGAGCTTCGTACCGTCGCAACATAAACGGGATATGAAGGCCTTCCAGTCTCTGACTGAACTCAAAGAAAAAGTTAAAGAAGCAGGAAAACGTTTGATAGTCAAAGCAGAGACTTCACCCCAAAAACGACCTCAGAAAAAAGAGAGAGAGAAGCAAATGCCTGCGGCGAAATCTCATTTTGGGGAAAAAGCAAAAGGCACGGCTCAAAAGTATCGATACCTCCTGAGTAAAGAATCGACAGAACAGCCAGACAATGTCCATACACCTATAGCTAGCAATTCTGGAGAACCTAACGAGAACTCAATATCTAGAAGAATCACGAATAAGCAATTCCTCCTAGAAAACTATCTGCCAAAAAGTAAAGATTTCGGTGAAGGTAATCAAAATGAACTAACCAAAAATATGATTTTAGAGCATCCAACTAAAGAACACTTGCTTGATAGCATTGACAGTACATCCTTTAAAACGGCTACCAAAGAAGAGGTTGAAGCTCTGACTTTAGAGAAAGGACCGAATAATGTAAGATCAAATAAACTAGAGATCAGTTATCCAAAGGTAACCAATGAGATGATTACTTCAAATAGAGAAATGACTAGCTTAATTTCCGCAGCAAATGGTGGCACAGATCAGAGCACCACCAGAGAGAAACCTTCAAAGTCGATTGCTGAGAAAAATGTCCTAGAAAACGATACTGATTACCAGCACAGAAGAAACTTAGACGGGAGAAATAAGTGTGTACCTCAACATCTATCGTCTGACAATTTTGCACGTTCAGCACACTCGCAAAATAGAAACCAATCTCAGAAGATATCGGATCTAGCCGAAGATGATCTGTTAGATAAAAATGTTCAGAAATTTTACAAAAATTCAACCCTACAAACCAAAAAACCAGAAGAATATGGACATAAGAAGTATAATCTACCTGAAGAAGTGAAAATAGAAGTGCCAAAACAGCAAATTTTCACAACAGTAAAATGCGAAGAAGTTCTTAGCAATCTAGATACTAAAGGCTCAAGAATACAATCGAACAAAGTGGCAAAGACAGGTCAAAAATCAGCTGCTAATTTTTCGATGAATATTCGTCATCCACAGATACCGAGACAGCCCCCACCACCACCTCCTTCAAAGGATGACAGTAATAAAAAAGAAAAACCCAAAGGCAAAAGAGATTTCATACTTCCCCCTCCCAAAAGACAACCAACAAATACGAAATTGACAAAAGTCATGGGGGAGAGGCATCCAAAGAAACTGGAGGAACTGAGAACAGAAAAACCAACAAAAGTTAAGATTAGGGCTTTGAAGTTTAAGTACATCAAGCCTATATCTAGGAAGACTTCTCCAATTGACAGTAAGAAGAAAATATTGATCAAAAATGCAGAAAAGATTCAAAAAGAGGTATTTATCAAACCGATAAGGACTAGTGAGCAAACTGAAATGAAGCAGATCTATAACAACAGAATACTAACTGAGAGGCAACATAAAGAAGACGCTCTCGTCGAAGATTTACATAAAAATCTTGCAGAAGAAGTTGACAGAAGTGAGAGAACGGAAAATGCATTTCGATGCAAACGTGCCATAGAGAGAAACGTGAAAGCTATGGATCAAATTAAAAAACTGAGACCAAACACTCCTCCTGGAAAAAGAATTTTGTTAGTGAAAACCCAAATCACGCCACAACTGAGGGAAGAACCAGATGTTCCTAGGGAAATGAAAAGTTCATATACAGTGGAGGATGACAGGATGTTGATTAATATAAAGATTATCAAAAAGAATGAAGAGCTAAGTCAAAGCTTTCTCGATAAAAACAGAGAATTCACAGAGAAACAAGACAAGGTGGAAGAAGTATCTCAAATAAGTATTAAGTCACCTAAAAAAATTAAAGCACCACAAAAATTTTATGATCATTTGGTACAACCTGAACAACGGTCAAATATCAACAGTGAAAAATTAGCAAAAGAAGTAGAAGATGTAAACCTCAAAGACCAAAACATAGAAATTGGTCAGAAATTTGAGAGATTGCGTCAAAAGGTTGTTGGTGAGAAAGGCGAAGTTGTACACCTCTCCGAAGGCGACGTTATCAAGAAGCTGCCGGCGATAGATTATGATAAGAGAATTGGAGGAAGTTACAAAAAGAAGGTAAGAAAAACTCCAACATCGGGATCTAGAAAAGATAAGAACTCAGAATCTAATGATAGCAAAAATAAGAAGGATGTAGATGATGTAGCTTTGTCCATCAGCGACATAGAAAAGAATATAGGAATTTTTCAGAAGAATGAAGAATTGAGGCGGAGGACTTTGGGTAGAAGAAAGGTTTTCAAAGAAGATATGGAGGAAGTGGACGATAAACCTGACATTGGTAGCAAATTGATTGAAAAATCTAAATATCAACCACCCAAAAGCTACCAAAAAGAGCGTGATATTATCAAACCTGAACCTGAGATTGAAGTTGATGTGGCTATCGTTGAAAAATTACCTAAAATAGATTATGAGAAAATTAAAGAAAATATGGATCGAAGAGGAAAGTATGTAAAATCTCCACATAAGATGGAAGATGATAAAATATGTCCATCGGCAGACAAGAATTTAGAAATAATCAAAAAGAATGAAGAAATAAGACGAAGAATCTTCAGTATAAAGAAAGGGACAAAAGAAGTACAAAATCAGCAGGAAGGTGAATTTGAAGCTAATAATAAAAACGCACCATCAAAAAGCTTCAAAACAGATATTGATATTTCTAAAGATACAACTGAGATTGATGATGGAAAGTCTAAAAAGCTTTGTCCAAAAAAAGATAAGGAATATTCAGATAGACCTGAATTTGATACAACAAACAAGCTACGTGAAATAGATTATGACAAAAGCAAAAGTGTTAAGGAGAAGCCGGACTATACTAAAGAAGCAAAATCTTCAACAGCGAAATCAAGTAAATCTTACAGAATAGACATCTCACCGGAATTTCGTATCGACAAAAAGGTGAACTCTTCATACATAACAGATGACGATAAAATATTTATATCCAATTGCAATACCCGCAGAAGCGTAGGAGTCATTAAAAAGTCTCTGACAAGTGAATCTTCTAGGAAAGAACGATCTTCAATGGTCGAACTAGAAAAAGAATCTATCAGTAGGGAGATGAAATCTTCAAATACAGTGGAAGATGACAAGATACTCGTATCTAGAAGGCATATAGGGACAAATATGCAGATAATAAAGGAGAACGACCATCTGAGACGGAAGGCAGTGGACAGAAGAAAAGAGTTTAAAGAAGATCAACATCAGCTAGATGAACAGCCTGAGGTCATCAAGGCAAATGAAAAAAATGACGACGATGCACCAAAAGAATTTGAGAAAGATTTGGGTACCAGAAAAGACACACGTGTAATGAACATCGAAAATTTGAGAGATGAAATACAAGATATAAATCAAAATAGGAAAAGTGTAGATGCTTTCGAAAAATTCGAAAAATTACGTCAAAAGATTGTTGGTGGACAAAACAGTAATCCAAAGTCAATTGAATGCGATTCCAGTCACGAAATATTTTATGAGATTAGACCTAGTCAATTAGCGAAAGTATGGAGAGTTAGAGACGCCAAACTTATCAATGAAGAGAATTTAAAGCACGAAATCGCCTCCAAACAGTTTCTTAGAGAAATAAGGTGTAGTGATGGCAAAAGAGATGATAGTCTTGCTGCCACACCAAGTACTATAAAACTTCAAACTAACGAAGTAAGCAAAATATATGTTGCTAAAACTAGAGCTGCCAAAACGACAAGAAATCTTGTCGGAGACGTGAGGCAAAAAGCACCAAATGATCTCATCAGAGACATAAAGAAAGAAAGAGTTAATGATCCTTTTGAAATCACAAAGAAACCAGAAGCAAAAGATTTTGTTGGAGACATAAAGAAAAAAGAATTAAAGGATCTTGTTGGAGACCCAAAAATAATAGACAACTCAAATCCTCAGAAGAAAACAACGGATTCTAAAAAGATGACAGCAAAAGATGCAAAGCACCGAAGTTATTCTAAGCCAGTAAGTCACGGTAAGGCAGAAGCAGGTCCGGATGTGAGAAGTGAAAAACAATATAAATGCATTTTGGATGATACACCAGAGACGACCGATAAGTTAGACGCACAGGATAAACAAAAAGAATCATCAATTACAACTATATATTGTTCAGTTAACAGCAAAAAATATACCAACTTATTAACAGGGTATCCTAAATCCGGAACACCGTATATGAAATGTGATAAAAATATTATAAATGTCGAGAAAAGTCCTTCTAGAGTAGATGGGAAACAAAAAAAGGCCAAAGCCTCATCTCCTCATGTAACGCCCAGGAGGTCTCAAACAGCTCCCAAGTTGTCACTAACCAGTCCCACCAATACTTCACTCTCTAGAACGGAGCAGGAAATACCTTCTCAAAGTTCCAACATTAAACCAGGAAAGTTCGCACCTGCAAAGTCAAAAGATCAGAGTGAAAGGGCTAAACAAAATAGTAAAACAAGCAGTAGCCTGCAGAGCAAATCTACAAATAATGAGGATTCTAGATCACTGTCTCCAATACACAGAACTAGATCTGAAGCTTCCTACTATGCCCAATACAAGCAGCGAGTCCAGTCGGTTTCACCAGGTCCGAAAAGGCGAGCAGAGTCAGAAAAATCACACGAAACGAAAAAATATGATAGCATACTTGAAGAAAAAGAGGGCGACGACTGTTTTTCTGGAGGAAGACATGAAAGGGATGACAAAAAAGGAAAACCTGGAGGCGGAATGAAAGCTTCAGGTGGTGGCAGCAAAAAGTCGAAACTCGTTGTGAACCTCATGTTACCAAAACTTGAATTGAAGAAAGATACGCCAGGGATGGTGACTTCCACACCAACTGTGACTCGAATAAGAGAACAGGATACCCGTAAGGTAAAAGAAGTTGAGAAAGCTAGTCCTCCAACAAAAGCAGCATCTGCAGCTTCTGTACCTCAAAAGCCTTTAGGCACTTCGCTTACTCCAACAGCTAAGAAGAAGTCATGTAGATTGAATGACTTTGTGTGTGCAGACTGCTTCGTCAAGGCTAAGGAAGAAACTAAAGAAAATGAAAACACTAAAGATTTGCAAGCAGAATTTAAACAATTACTAGATGATCCTTGCAGCAAAATACTCTCATCGAAATATTTACTGGAACCAAAGAAAGCTTATTCAAAAAAATCATGTCGATTGGACGAATTCGAAGATAGCCTGTCAAACTTTTTGACGCCAAAGCCTGAGCAGAAAATTGAAGAGAAAAATCTACAAGAACAGACGTCTGAAACTAAAAAACCTGATAGTGAGGGTTTCAGTACGATGGACGCAATGGAGGTCATGGGTAATTTTGTCAATCAGAAGAAGCAAGAAATTGAGCCGAAACCTCTCCTCAGGGCCACGGCAAGACTCCCAAAGCCAAAGTCTCAGGAAAGCAAACAACAAATTCACAAGATGCAGGAAACTAAGCCCCAACCTCTCATCAGCGTCACGGCGACACTCCCGGAGTCAAACCCCCAAGAAGAAGAAAGTAAACAACGTGCTCAGAAGATGCAGGAAATTGGCACTAAACATCTCAGGGTCACGGCAATACTACCGAAGCCAAACTCTCAAGAAGAACAAAGTAAACAACATATTCTGAAGATGCCGGAAACTCAGCCCCACACTTTCCTCAGTGCCACGGCGATACTTCCGGAACTAAAGCCTCAGAATGAAGAATGTACGCAGCAGACTCAGAAGATGCAGACCCAACCTCTCCTCAGAGGCACGGCAACACTCCCGAAGCCAAGTCGTCAAGAAGAAGAAATTAAACAACAGATTCTGAACATGCAGGAAACTAAGTCCCAACCTCTTCTCAGGGCTACGGCGGCACTCCCGAAGTCAAAGCCTCAAGAAGAAGAAAGTAAACAACAGATTGAGGCACCTGAGAAACAGAAACCAGGTAAGCCTTCAAAAAAATGTACTATTACGCTAAGTAGGTCACCGTACACGCATAGTATTAATGTAGAAAAGACAAAACTCACTTATACGCGGAAAAAGGGAAGAAAAACGCCAACAAGACCAAGAGGCAATGTGCGCAAGCCCAGAAAACGAATCAGTAACAGCGCGATTGCTAGTAAGATGCAGAAGGGAGTGCCCTGTAGAGACATCGAGAAAAATCGAATAAAATACTATGAAATATATCTCAGAGTTATCATGGAAAAATACCGGATAGATGAAGTTAGATTGAAGGAAGACGAGTACTCGGTACCTAGGATTGATGTAGAGTTTCTTAAAAGAAAGATAAGGAAGGCAAAAATGAGGAGAGCTATGGAGAAGAAACTACACAAAGCCTTCGCAGGGCCCAAATCTGATAATCCCGCTGTCAAAAACAAGACGGAGTACAGCAAAACAGATTTAAAATATCTTAACGACGATGTTAAAAAATATCATAAAGTTCAATTTGATGGAAATAGAGCAAGTACTTCCAAACCAAGTGATGATAAAAATACTGAAAGTGATACAGTTACGATGAAGAAAATAGGTTCTACACAAGATGCACAATCCAAGACAGACGACTCATCTAAAGTTGAGACCAGGAAAACAGTTGTGAAAGATGTTCAGTATTATATTAGATTAAACAGAGAAGCTAGAAAAAAGAAAAACCAAAATGATGAATCGCAAGTCTACGCTCGAGAAAACTGTAAAGATTTTACCCAGGAGACAATTTGCAAAAAGAATGAGTCATTAAAAAATGAAACCGACGATAATGTTAAAAAATTTATTAAATCGGCAGATATATCTAATCTCATCGTTCAAGTGATAAAACCTTGGAACAAACCAGCTCTGGAAAGACCAACCAAATTGTCTAAAGACCGTTTGTGCTCCAAGTATCTACTAGAAAATCAGTTAATAATAAAGCAAGCCAAATATTATGGTTTTCGACTAAAAGAACCTTTATCGCAGCAACTTGCCACAGAGTGTCACGAACTGAAGTTTAAAAAATCATCGTCAAAGTACCTATTAGAAGCGCAGGCAGCAAATTATAGAGAATCCAGAAAAACCCCAGATATAATGATAATTCCTTATGTCAGCAAAGAGCCAGGAAAATCAAAAGAAAACTATGCTCAAAAAATAACAAACGTTTATAGCATTGTTGATATTCCAAGTAAGATGAATAATGTAACTAAAATTGATATGAATCATTTGAAGACATTGTCCATTATAAAAAGTGAAGATATTGCGGCAAAACAGGCCTCGTTTATATCAGAAGAGGCGCCAAATGTCTTGGAAGACGTTCTGAGTGTAAAAAATCTGAAAAGAAATGATTCAAAAATGTCAAAGAAATCTGAGAACCAGTTGGAGAGTGAAGTTATACCAATAACCTATAGGTATCTTCTGCAGAACCAAACAAATCAAGATCCAAATACAGGCAAAACTTCGTTGAAGCTAGAAGCAAGCAATAACATTTTTGAAGATAACCTCAGAAGCTCAAGATATCAAATTCAATATAAGCTACCATACAAGTACTTGCTTCAGGATCCAACAGATGCCTATGGAAATTCCAATACAGTTAGACAAACTTTATCTGAATTTAATGTGAGCAATACTTTTGAGGAAATGTTTTCGGACTCAAAGTACCTGCTTCCCGATAACATGCATTATAAATACTTGTTGCGGGATCAAGCAAGTTCTCATGGTCATTATAATAGAGACAACGAAACTTTATTGGAATTGGAAACAAACAGCAATACTTTGAGAGGAAAGCCTTCGGGTTCCAGATATCTACTTCAAGATGAATTTCAGGAAAAAAATCTACTTCAAGGCCCAGTAAGCTCTCATAATACCGACAAACAAACTTTGCTTACATTAGGAGCAAGCAAAAATAGAGAACTGCGTACACATTCAAAATATCTACTGACAGGAACATACTTGTTGCAAAGCCCAACAGCTTCCTTCGAGAATTCAATTACGGATAAGGAAAATTCTGAAGTAAAGAGCGTATCTGCAATCTTACCTCCAGAAAGATCTCAGGACGAGTCTATTCTACAAAACCTATCAGGTACGCAAGAAAACTCGAGCACGGAAAAACAAATTTCATTGAAATCTGCAAGTATCAACGATATCTTTAAAGAGAAATCTTCAAGCGCAAAGTGTCTAAGTAACGTTTTGAGAAAACCTCGTCCAAGTTCAAGAAGTATAGTTCAAGAGACATGTAAGAAACCAAATTCAGTTCGGTTGATAGACATAGCTGCTTCAATGCCTATGCTAAGATCACCCAATGCAACAAGCAATAAATCTAAGATTAACGCTAAAAGTCAAGACGTCGTAGATAGTGAACTGAAAGATACAAATGCTTTGTATAAAAGTTATTCAAAATCTCCGTCTCTTGAAGAGGTCAAAGGTCTCTTAAAACTTCAACTGGGTTCACAAGGAGGTTCAGATGACAAAGGTTATGCATCAGATGCTGATACGTATATCTTGGAGAAACGGAGATTGAGCACCCAACAAGACAGTTTAGAAAATTCTGAATATTTGCTCAGTCAGGTAGACTCAGATGAAAACGTAAACGGTAAATTATCGCAAGTTACAGACAATGATAAAAATGTGAGCCAGAAATTTCAATTTGATGAGAAGAAAAATAATGTTTGGGGCTATGAAGACTGTGCAAAGAAAACATTGAAGCGTCTGTTGGCCCTGAAGAACTATACAAACTCAAAACTGAATGAATCTGTCCGTGGAAAAAATGTAAAATCAGTTTGTTCTAAAACTGCCACAATGCGTCCAAAGAGTTCAGAAAGAACAACTTTCTATAAAAAAGTAGATTTTAAAACGTTGAAGAACGCATCTTCAGGTGTCGTGGTTCAAACTAACCAAAGCAACCAAATTGATAGATACGGTAAAAAGGACTATAATGCTAGAAATAATCAATCGTACGAATATAAACATTTATTACAGAGTGGAGTGAATGCTCCTATAAAATTGAGTGCGACCCAAATATTACAAAATAAAAGTGGACAAGTGGCTCATAACGGAGGACTTATTGGAGACCATCTTCAAAAATACCGGTACTTACTAGAAAACAGTGATAAATCTGTACAAGAAAAAACTGAAAATATAAAGTCGTATCCTAAAGAAAATCAGTCACAAAGTTTGATTGGTGTTGGCGAACATTTGGACATGCCTTTCTCTACTAGAAGTGCAACTATCAATAACAAAGGTGAAATACTCGATAATTTGTTGACAATTAATACTCCAACATCCAAGAGGAAGCATTTGAAGGATGACAACGAGAAAAAAGAAGAATCTTCTAGGTTGATTCAGTTGCTTCGTAAAGAGAAATACCGGTATTTATTAGATAATCAGGTGCAGTTCGATGATGTCTACAAAAGGTCATATGTGACGCACTCTTCCGATAACAACATTAATAATGTTAAAAAGTCCCAAGTAGAGTCAAAGAAAGACAAAAAACAAAAAGATGACAAAAGCCTAAAAGTGATACCAACACGTAGTTTAGATGATGTTCGTAAGTACATTTTGGACAAAAATATGTCCACAATCTTTGTAGAACCATCTAGAAATAAACCAACTGTTGAAGCTAAAGTCGAAAAGATATATGAGAAAGAAGAACCGGTGAAAAAGTTCAACAAAAAACTTTCTGAACATATAACTCCAGCCCAAACAAAGAAGAAATTGGGTATTCTGGACTTGGGAAAAGTAACTTCTGAGGTGATCAAAACTGTACCCGATGAGACAATGCGCAGCGCTGAAGAACCTCCACAAAAAGCGAGTTCTGACTTCCCAATTGCTAAACAAAAGAAAGTTGCGTCGAAAGTTATTGAGAAGAGTCTTCCGGATTTCAAGAGGCAATCAAAGGACAAACATACGATTAAAGAACTGAGTGCTTTCGACACAAAGCTGAGAGTACCGCCAAAGTCTATATCCAAAGCTCTTATGTCACAATCTGCCGAAAATACAACTTTGAATTTGGATCATAGTGAAAAAGTCATGTCTATTCCAAAAGAGGAAGCAAAATCCAGCGTTTTGGACAAATACAAGCACTTGAAAATCACGTATGTAACAGTAAGTAGGCAGTCCAGTAAGAAAAATGGTCCATCACTCAAGATTTCTTCTAAGGAAGAAAAACTTATGTCACAGAGACCTCTCGCGGAAGTGATTGCTCGGAGATATGCGATGCTGAAGAAGTTGCATGAGGAGTTCAATGAAATGAATGGCATCAAACAGGAAGATAGTCATTTTGATAGGGTGTCCAAGAGGTTTGATGATATAGTGAGGAAAGAAAACGTAACTGTGGGTGATCTTGCTAAAGCTGGGACAGAACTGGAGAACAAGATATGCAAAATTAACTTGTTTGATCCTGAGGCGCATGGTAGTTTAAAAGAAAAGCATGATAATAGACGAATGGAACAAGAGAGTAAATCGAACATGTTGGAAATTGTGAAAGGAAAGAATGTTAAAAAGGCGAGAGGCGGTGATAAAACAACAGGTGTGAAAAGAGAAAATAAAACGAGTATGTTACGTTTGGAGAAAATGAAGTTGCAAATTTCGGAAGGCAGACAAATGGGAAGGGGAACTCATAAGAAAAACCATAAACCAAGAGTTGAGAAAGCAATCAAGGCGAAGATTGACAAATTGGATGGAAAGAAGATAGAACTGGAAAAGGAAATTTGCAAAGCCAACATCAAAGTGCAGCCAGATGATCATCCAACAAATATATCGGAGATATTGATTAAAAGACTCACAGATGCTAATATTTTGAAGGAAGATGAAGAAAAACCAAATAGGGGGTACAAGAAGTAGTTCGAAAAGGAGTAGAAAGGTACCTTTTGAATAAACATCATGAATATGCTTCTATTTTCGGTTTATTATGCATTAATTTGATAAGTAATGAGTTTCCAATTTTCGTTTTCGTAGTAATTAAGTTTTTCATCAGTGGAAACATGCCCGGAATATAGTACGATAAAGTAAGATTTCTTGATCCGTGAAATACACAGATGAACTTAATTATAAATGATTTCCTAAAAGGTACTTGGGTATTTAAATGTAGCGCCAGTTTCCACCGACTTGACCTAGAAACTTTGTATTGCTCATAACGGGGTTTAACGCTCTATAGTTGTAGTCACCATTCTTGGCGGGTCAAAGTGAGACTACCAGAATCCCTTTATATATCTCCATCTCCCTCATACATACACGTGCAACCTACCCCTGTGTGTGAACGTTTGTTTGGTAAGCTCAGAGACATACGTTTTTTAGTTGTGTGTCTCCATCTCGAAAACTTTGTCGTTACGTATGAGTACCCTGCAATCATATTTGTCAGAGTGACAACTTACTCAACATCGGCGTGCAATTCAAGTTACAATGCCCGGAAATACGATGAATGGAGAAGGCCGACAGCTCGTGCTAAATTTATCTATATTTATTATATAGGAAGAGAATGAAAACAGCGGTCCTCTGTTACCCACTTCATGCGTACTGGAGAGAGTAGCAGATGCGCTGATTATTAGTCTGCGCCCATTGAACGGAGACTCGATCTGTTTTCTTATTTCATATGGCGTTGATGACGTAACCGCCAAGAACGGTGACTGCAATTAATTTTATCATGATTTTGCCTCTAAACGGGCAATATTTTTGTAGCAATATATAGCTAAGGCAACTATAGCCCAGGCATTTTGACAGGATTGCAGCATATGGCTCAGCTTTACAGGGTGTCCAATAGTCCATTATTATTATTATAATACCAAATACATTTTTGGTATTTTTAAGTTAATTGATATATAGGAGTAAGAATGTTTTTGATAAAACGTACATCAAAGAGATATATGTTTATAAAAAAAATTGATTTAAATCTAAACAATTTTGGAGAATAGACAAATCTTTATTTTTTAATGGGTTATTATTTGTGTCGACCATTAAATGCTCGAACTAATGATTTCTAATTAGTGCAAAATAAATATACCCAATCCAAAAGAATATAAACTTGTGTGTTTTTGATACAGAGTCCGGAACATTGTATCATACAGTTTGTTTCCAGCCTTAACATCTTAGCAACATTTAGACACTTTTATAACGTTTTTTTATATTTTATGGGTATGGGTATATACATAGTTTAGAAATCCTTTTTAACTTGATAAATAGGTTATGAAACTTACAGTATCCGCGCTTTTTGAGATTTGCAGCTCTAATCATTAAAGTAATTTAAAATTGTTTTCACGCCAAATGTTAAACCCGCGTTTCGATGCAAGAAAACAGTAAGGATCTACTCACATGTACCCAGCTTCAGTAAATAGCTTCTATAAATGCACCTGAAACAGAGCACGAGAATTTGTGAAAAATGTGCTTGCTTGACAGATTATCGTATGAGTCGAGCATGCACAGCACTCTAGATCCAGAGCACCTCCGGCACCTGTACGGACTAGACTTTTTTCCGTCCCGTTCCTGCATATACTGTCGTCTTTATTTTGTGGTCCAATAATTCAAGCGATAGACGAGCATGAATTTCATATTTGTTAATTGTTTATGCAGGGTGGCTTTGAAGTTGAGTCATTAATTTTCAGATAATGATTGTAGAAGGAAGATAAACCAAAATATATGTGTAAAAATAAAAAAAAATTATACAAAAATTTTTACCTTGTTTTATAAAGTATTCTCCCGACAAGTATTTCAGTGCGGACCTGTATTTGATCGTGAGGTCTTGGAGCACCGGCATGCCGTCACCTGATTCACGAGCCCGTTGTACTACATTAACAAAGGCACGAGGGGTTGGTTGCACTCGATTGGGAAACCGATCCGCATAAACATGTGCCATTTTTTATTTCGTTTGAGCCACGCAACAGACACCACTATTCACTGACACTGACTGTATACAAATGAATAAAATAATTGTGAAAACATCGTTCCAAATTCTTTCGCTTTTTTGTTTCCGATGCGATGAACCGATACGGCGGATTATATCCGTTGTCGCCAAACACGAGCACATAATATTATTATTGAGACAGGGCGGTACTCAAACTTCCAAAGGGCTATAACTTTGTTACTTTAATTTTACCAGAAAAATGGTAAAGGAAAAAAACATTTCTTTTGATCAGATCTACTCACTGTTAAAATAAATGACTCAACTTCGAAGTCACCCTGTATGATAAAACAATTTTATTTATACGGTGGGTCAAGTTAGCAAGTTCGGAATGAAGAAAAGTGACAGAAATAATTTCAAGACGGCAGATGGGAGAGGCTGATACTTTTAAATATCTATTCATTTCATTTCGTTTGTTGTACCTACCGAGTCAATTGTGTGACAAATTTTTTGAATAATTAAATTTGGCACATAAAAAACTGTTATTTCCTATCTCGCACAAACACATCTTAAAGACGTCAAAATTTGGTGGTAACTCGTCAACTGACTTATGATTGTTCCAAATATCGACGTCGTAATAACGTTCACTAAATGTCCAATTGCGTACGTGTACTGTAGGATCAGCGCCACCTTCAACTAAGTTGTTGTTCAACTAGTTGAAGGTGGCGCTGGTAGGATGTTGTTTGAAATGTCTTTGAGGTTATCTTTTTTTAATTGCATATATTTTTATATGTATGATGTTTTGTTGATTTAGAATCACCATTTCAGATTAAAAATGGCGGGCAAAGAAATAATTATTCCATTCCATCCCTGATTGACGTTCATTCAAAGCAACTGAAAGTTATCTGAAATGATAAATTAGTGTTGCCTAACAGCGTTCCCATAAATATAATATTTGATGATTTTTAAAGATAATAGGTCGTTTCGGTATTAAAACTTTCAGCCTATGGTGCTACGTCTATGTAATACTAAGTACTGATAACATAGAATCTGTTTTTTTTTAAAAGCTAAAATTGGTTATTCATTATAAATAATAGACGTCATCTTCACGTCAAGCAAGTGACGTATTATTGAGGTCTGCCATATGGCGTCATCGGTATGTGACATTAGGTCATTTTTACATTTATTTCGTGACCAGTCATTTTCACGTGCTTGTGCTAAATCCGTGTTTCATTCTACACTATTTATAGAACACACACATACGGTGAGGTTCAAATTTGGATGAGGTAATGTGTACGAGAGAGAAGCGCGAAAAACGTGCAATATGTATGTTCGTCCGTGGCCTCGTCACTCGGGTTGCTAGACAACGAGGTGCTTCTATCTCTTCCTAACGCACATGTATTGCACGCTTCTCACTCGAACACATTACGCCGTCAGTGGTATATGAATTTCACCGTATAACGCCATGGCTTTTTGCAGAAGAAATAGACATAACAAAATCGGCACCTGAAGCTTTCCACGAGGTACCGGAAAGTGTCGAAGAGCTAGTGGGAGAGAACAAATATCATAACGCCCTGTACTACAGTTACAACAAAGACAGCTACTATGACCTGTACGTGTTTCAACACAAGTTTCGGACGTCCAAGTGATTGACATAACTGTATATGCTAATAAATTCTATGTCGTTAAGGACTCATTATACATTGTCCATTTTGACTGCACAAGTAAACGTACACGTGTACAATCGACCATCTAGTCTTTTATTTCACAAAGCACGCAATTCATTTTCTTTTTATGTTGTAACTGTCGATTCATAGGCTCGAGGATCAAAATTTGCATTTCCCACCAATCAGAGAAGAAGCATTTAATCATTGCTCCAGCCATGGATCAAATTTGATAGATAAATATGCTTTATTTTCTGAAGAATACAAACATTCTTAATAACAAGGCTAATTTGAAAACACTTAGTAGATATAGCGAGTGACAAAAAAAGGTACGTATGTTTATTAGAATTCAAGAATTTTTACATATTGATTTATCTTGCCATGAACAACAAGTGATGAAATGGCCAGGTTTTCCTGATAAGTTTTTGTGATGGCTGCGTGTATTGTTTGGTTTCAGTTTTTTTACATTAACGGTGTCAAATAAACGTTAAATTTTGTGTAGTTTATTGAGAAGCCTTTTTGTGGTTGCTCAAAATACGTAGAATTTCCCGGGTATCCCAGCTAAGTGACTTTGACACTTGACGCCACTTTTTCCAATCCATGAAGAAAAGAACATACTAAACCGTAATTTTAAGAATGAATATTGAAAGTTTCGTTTCTTAAAATTGAAATTTTTTTGGGTGGAGAAAACCCAATATGAAATATGAACAAGACTGTGCAATATTTCCAAATAATGTGAGAGTAAATCAGAGAATGAAGAAACATAATCATATAAGAAAGTATATTTCAAAATTACATGTGTGTATAACAATAATATCAATCACAGCCTGGTAATAAAAATTACTATAAAAATATCAAATATGACAGCAATCAAAGCTTCTTGGTACCATAAGAGTGTTTTCATACCTTGCTACCATCCCTTCCTGCATTATGTTCACCATAGAGATATATGCCGTGTGCCACGTGCATGTTAAGCCAGCAAATATTCTGCAAGAGAATGAGCCGATTATTAGTATCAAAGTAAACATTAATTTTTAAATTAACTTTCATTTTGTATTTTAAAACGTCAGCGAACTTTCTTGTTCGTAAATAAGTATTAGGTGTCATTGTATTTAGTTATCTGCTACCTGTGGAGATACTTGAATATCCTATACAATTCTTCGATTTTTCTATCTAAGGCCATTTGTCTAAAGTGATTTGCTATCATCTCTGTATCAAAATCAGATGGATCCTTTTCTGAAGCGATCCATTTATTTACAATTGGTTTTATTTGCTCCCAAGGCATGTTAGCAAAAGGTGATTTCATTTTCTTTCCAGATGCTAAAAAATTGGGGTCAAAGAAATATATGAAAAGTGTTCAAATGTAATTCAGAACTTAATCAAAGTGGTATTTGGGTATACCTTCTTTTCTGCTGTCATGTGGTTGTGCATTATCAATTTTTGAGACTTGGTGAAGTCTGTGTTCAAGCTGATACTCCTTTATTATTTCATTTCTCAGACCTTCTGGTAGTTCATGCAATACTTCCAAGTCTATTTCATTTTGCATATGCTTCTTCTAAAAATTAATTTAAGTAATATGTCTACAATAGTTTCAATAAGTGGTTTCTAATAATTTTCTTATTAAATCACTCATCACCTTTTTTGAATCAGGCTGACTCCCCATTTTGCTTTTACCAAAATAATCACCAATGTTACTAGTCGTACATTTTCCTTTGTTTTTAGTTGATCCATTTTTGCTACCCCTGCCTCTACCTCTACTGGTCTTCTCCAAAACTTTCTTCCCAACATTGACATGTTCGTTGTATTTTAATATATCACTTGTCACCGCGCTTTTGTTGCTATTTTCTATAGGTAATCCTTCATCAGTGCTTTTACTCTCTCCTTCAACTTTGTTACCATTCTGCAATGTATTTTCACTGTCATCGACAGAAACATTTTCTTTCTTGCTGTTGTGCTTCAGAAACTTACTAAGCACATTGTTCATTGCAACGGATTTTTCTAGTTTTGTCATCTGAATGCCGATTCCTCTCAAGTCAACGAAAGGTGGGTCAATCTTATCATACAAGGTCTTCACCTCTTTGTAAATAACATCACGGTTGTTGAAAATTATATTCCCAGTAGAGCTTTTTGTTATAGATTCACATATGCCGCAACCCAAGTATTTTGCTGTCTCCTACAAACGTTTCAAAATAGAGAATGGAACCGAGCAGAAGGATGTTTTTGGGAAGATGTAAAAAATGGCTCAACACTGTGGTGACTTTTTTCATCTTCTGATACTTTTACTTACCACAGGAGCTTCTGGAGCCCTCACCAACAATTTTAAAGTCAATCCTTTAGCTGTCATATTAACTGCACTCATCCTATTAAAAACCTCATCAGAGAGGCTTTGCAAAAACGTATAGCACTCTTCTAATTTTTTGAAGCGTATCCCATAGTTTACATCGGCAGATATTGACTTTCTTTCATGAGTGAAGTTGAGAGGTCTACTGTCTACGCCTCGAGCTTGATCCTTGAGAGTTTGACCTGCTTTTTTGCCAAGAAGTGCTTGAATAAAGCTCAACGACTTCATCTGAAATAAAATTGTGTTATGAAAAAAGAACGTTCTTTTTTAGATAACCTCAACAATCTATACACATGAACTGAACATTTTCTTGGGTGTTGTTTGATAATTTCTCGAGAAAACAGTAATGGTCTAATCATTTTTGTTTTCGTTTTTATGCTGAATTCCTTGAAATGCCGCATAAATATTGTTATAACTTTTTTGTTTGTCTATCTAAAAATATCTCGAAACATACGTTTCTTAGAGAAAAATCTTGTAGAACACAGTTGTAAAATTTGAAAAGATTCATCCATTGGTGATCTTGGACGTGACCTTGACCATGACCTTCAGATCATTTGGAGTCCAATACAGTTTTCTTAAATTAAACACCTATTTATGAGTCCGGCAGAGCATTATGTAAAACATCTCGAAAAAAAAACCGACGAAATATCATCTTGCAGACTAGGTAGCTTTTAGTGTGCAAACAGTTCATTCCACGTTTGCTCGCTAAGACCGCTGTTCGCTGACATTTCAGCAGCACGCACAGCTACAAAACGAGTTCACAACAAGTGTACAACAGCTTGTGCTTAGTTGTCATCTTGAAGAAAAACCTAAAATCCTACGTTATGTCACAAAAAACCTACGGAATATGCAAAAAAAAACGACACTTTTTAAGATACGTTATACCCGAGCCGAAATGTAAACACCGGGAAATTTTACGTTAAAGTATATCTTTGCAAATGACCTTGACTATGACACATGTATTTGAGCGTGTTCAAGATAGGAAAAGGACTATATCTTTCAAAAAATACGTTCCATAAAGAAAACTTTTGTGCAATAAAGTTGTAAGATTCATCTAATGATGACCTTGACTATAAGGTTCAAGCTAATTTGATTGTCAAGACAGTTATCTTAATATGTTCAAGTATGCCATGTCTATGGCTATCAAGTTCACTTGAAGATCAAATTAATTTTTAACAGCAAAGATGTTTAATTGCTGAAATGCAAATTGCGAACAATTTTAAGTAGTGTATATTCTTGCCAACGAACCTGACCTTCAAGGTCATTATAAGAACAGATAAATATTTCAGAAAGCACCTCACTTTTTGTCGAGGATATGAACAAGCAAAGTTATTTTATTGTGGCATTAGGATTTTGAAGAAAAAATGTTGCATTGCCAAAGTAACTATTGCATTAATTTGAAAATTGCATTTCTTTATATTTCATTCTTTGAAACCAGTCTCCTTCAAACAGATTCAAAATCGCGAGCGGAGTCCCAGGTTTAGTCTAGCATTACCTGTACATCGCCACAGGTACTCAGTCCTAAATTACTCAGTTTGGACAGTGTAACTCTACCTACACCCGGTAAATCAGATAGCGGTATATCGGTCATATAGGACTCCACATCGTCTGCTTGAAGATAGTACTGGCCTGCTGGTTTGGCTTTGCGTGTAGCAAGCCTAGCTTGGAGGCGATTTGCTCCAAATCCTAAAAACATAACATAATTTCCTCATTTCTTAATGAACCTGATATTTTTCTAGTTTTCTAGTTTAATTTATAACGAAATGACACTATTATTTACCTGTTGAACATGGACATCCAGTAGCCTCCATAATTTCATTTCTTATATGAGTGGCCCATTCCTCTACAGTTAGGCCCGTTTCTTTTAGCAGCTTTGTCACATCTACATACATTTCATCACAGCTCACTGCTTCTATATCTAGAGTATAGCTGGCTATAGTTCTATATAAGATGTTGGACACTTCTTTGTATCCCTGAAAAATATCAGTTTTCAATATTGACACTCCAAAACTGATATTATCAAGTTGAGAATGTGCCTTACCTCAAAATCGTAAGGTTGTGTTTTCAAATCTGGACACAATTTGATTGCCTGGCCCAAGAACATTCCATTTCGTACTCCAGATTTTCTAGCTTCGTAGCTGCAACTTGCTATTTCGGACATGCTATCTCTGTCACCAATATCCACCTAGGAAAACTGAATCTAATGAATGTGATCAATTTTCTTTTATTGACAAGTAAATACCTCCCACTCAATGCTAACATCACTTTGTAAAGGATTATGTCTGGCACAAGTTAGCTCTTGCGAGAAAAAGTTGGTTAGAACATGAAAAATAAAAAATTAAATAACTCTCGCAGAGAGAAACGCCTGCGGGCACACATGATCGCTGCTATAACTAATCCCGCGTGTATGACGATATTGACTTTTACAGCATACAAGGCCACAACAGCACGGAAGCGACTGCCGATTGCGAGGAACGCCTGTTGCAAATGTTTCTTCTGTGGGGACATCTATAAAAAGTGAAATATGTGCATAGAATCACTGAGGCTGCAACCCCTAACCCCACTAACAAAATTTTTCTGAAAATGATCAGGAGCCTCTGAAACGTCAAAAAAAGAAGTTTGAGCGATTTTTATACTTTTTCGTTTCGCCACTGGACCGATTTTCGAAAACTACAAAATTTTTTCGTCCGTTACATATAAGTAACCTTGGGTGAAATTTTCATCTAAATTCGACAGGTACTTTTGAAGTTATAGACGAACCAAGAATTAGCGTACAGACAGACACACCGACAGGCATACGGTAATGAGTGACATGGCTTTTCGTGATGTACATGTCATGTAACATCCAAAAAAATATCTCATTTTCAAAATTTTACGCGGGTAGAATACTTCCTCGCCAATAAGAGTGGGAAGTAATACGGTGGTGTCGACGGAGGATCAACTCTCCGCTGTGGTTATAAATACTGCCTTGTCTACCATTCGCGTAACAACTCAGTATGATATTTGCAAAGGCATTCTCATAGTCTGGTAAGTAGTGTGACAATTACAACTTCCACACTATCAGTTCTCTCCTCTGTTTTTACGTGAAAAACGCGTTTAGTGTCAATCTTCAGTGTCTCACCTTTTCCCCAGGTTCCAGGTGTTCCCATAGTTTGAACTCAGCCCCGCGGTGTGAGTTCTCATTAGCCAATCGGCCATTACGAGCATGTGTGATGGCCAACGGTTTACCACGAAGATCTGGACGTTTGCGCAGAGCTACTGAGACGAAAAAGCAGTCCATGTCTATGTGCATTACTACTGAGGCGAAAGAAGGATAGAAGGCTCGCGGACCTTCTGCTGAAAATGAAGATTATAATTTGAAGCAAATCAGGTCACAAAGAAATTTAAACAATACACAACTTAGCAATATGAATGCTGCGCAATTGGCTAACAACCATATGGGATCAGACCTTCCAATGACCTCCTGCTGAAGTGACATATTTATGTCAACTGTCACTGTGTATTTTGAGTTCGACTGGTAAATATGGCCACATGTTTTTTCCAATATATACTATGTAAAGTATATCCTAATTGATGCCTTCAAAACTTGATATGTCTTGTGGTATCCATCCCTGAAGGGTCACCAAACCAGTAAGACTACACATATAAACACAGTGTTTTGTGTTACATAATACAAATCAGAGATGATATCTGACATCTAAGTTGAAAGAAGGAACAACTCAATTTGGATACAAGTCTCAAAGGATAGGGAATGAACATAACATTAAAAACGTTTGACAATACAATGATTTCAGCTAGATTTTAGAATTGATGCTGCTTGACAAGACACTTTTGGACCTTCACAATATCATAGTGATTTAACAAAATATACAATGGGTATCTAAAAGTAAGGTTTTAGAGTAATATTTATAATGTGTAACTCAGCTAAGTGTCCTACCTTTCTTTGCAATCAATTTGTCCTTGCCAGGAAAATGCCCATCAGATGTTTCTCTCAATTTATTGACCAGATCTTTGTATTCAGCACATAAGGTAGAAATCAAATGTAACCTTGAGTTCTGGTAGAATTCTTGCAAGAAACTAGGATCTGCAGCAGTTTTTGATATACCTTTGCCCTTATTATCAATTGCTGATTTATTTTCAATTTCTGTATGGTCTTGGTTTCTGGGTGATGGAACTTCCATATTAGTTTGTTCATGTGGTATGGCAATTCCATTACTGGTGGCTTGTACTGGCACTTTACTACCAGTAGTTTTTTGCATGACTGTAAAATCTAACCGAGGCTGAGTCCTGCTTTGGTTATTGTATAGCAGATACCTTTTGAAGTCTAAAAGTTTCCCCATTGCTATACTGTCAACAATCCATGAGGGTTTTACAATTGGTACTCTCCCCAGATTTTTTATCTGAGAAAAAAGTAGAACAAATTAATAGTGAAATGAGTATTAGAAAGCAATGAAAAACAATTAGTGCGATTTAGAATGCTGAATCCAGGATAAGTGTTAATTGATCACCCTTGGAACTGAGTACTTGTTATTTTTGATAAAGTACTGAATGTATTTATATCATGTACAATGTATCTATTTCACAGTTTAAATGTCACCCCCTGGCCACACATTTTCTCCACTGGTACTTATAATCGCTGTAACAACTTAAATATTATCTGAACCTGTCAAATTTGTATCACATATCATATTGTCTTGTGACATAAGGAATATGAAAACAACCTATGCTATTTTTTGTAGTTGACACTGAAAACTCAAATGCCCTTCTACATCCTCAACAAGCATTCAATTTAGACTTTTTATATTGATCTCAGTTACTTCAGTTCTCACATTATTCAACCTACCTTAACATTAGGTAGATTGGACGCAATGAGATGAGTTGTACTGGAACTCTGATACATGTGAAATTCTCCACCATGTGCAGCCATCAGATTCTTCAATTCATCTGCAGGTGGTCTGGTAAGGCCATTTACAAAAATTGAAATTCCTTCAAAGATGTTTGATATCCTCTTAACTTCACTATTATGGAACTGATCTAGTAATTTCAGACGTTTTGCTTCCATATAATTACCCTGTATAGCATGAAGTTACAAATAAAGTTTTCATCACTTTAATATTTCTTCTACTCACCCAGTCAGCAAGTTCTGGAACATTTTGCTTGTTCCCATTCCTCATATCTCTTGCTACTAAGTTTGCTTTCCTCTTACCTCTGCAAAATCCTCCTCCCATTTCCAAAAGCTTATTTATTATGTAAACACGTAATTTTAGAAGTAACAAAAACACCTTACGCTCAGTATTAAAATTAGGATATTAAAGTAGAATACACAGGTTTAAATGAGTTGAGAAACGTTTTAAAAATACAAACTTGTTTTTCTTTTTTGGAGGTTAGGTACGTTGTTTTTGGGCTTGACAGCTTGCAGTTGCAGTTTGACATACAGGTATAGAGCGTTGGATCATGTGGGTTGCATTAGGAAAGAAAAGTATTCATAATCGCCATTTTTCTTATATAGGAACAAACTTTACGTTAAACTTATAGCACCTCTCCCTTGTGGTACGGTGATCAAAAGGAACACAATTTTATTCTTATATTAATATGTTATTTTCTCTGAAATAGGTATTTTGGAACATATAGGTTTGAAGGGACAAAAATACGAGTAGGAGTAGACAAGAACCCCCTCCAGTGTGAAACAACACTCTACATTTTTTTGACAGCTCGGAGCACTGACAGTTGACAGTTGCTTGACGCAACGACACAGGCTAGTCTTGTGTTTTATGACTCCAGTAAAGAAATGTTCTATTTTTTAAATAAAAATTAATATTATTTATAATTATTTATAACAGTTCTCGTTTTAGGTACTGTTTTACGATGGCCGATGAACACTTTATTTAGCGACGGTAACACACATTTGTTTTTATATTATTTATTTATTCCTTGTTTTTTTTGTTTCAGGCCACGCTAAAAAATGACACCGAAATTATGATTAGCAATATTACCATTGATGACCGAGTCGAATCTCAAAATGCACCAAAGAAACTGAGTGCTTTGCGCTTTACCATATGGCGTTTGTTAGCTTTACTTTGTACCTTGAGTGTAATACTATTTGCACTTATTATTTTCAAAACATACATAAAAAGTATACTTCTTTGGCTGGAAAAGCAAGACTCTCTAGTCATAGCAGTGACAATATGCTTCCTATATATTTTAGTCTCTCTTCCAATCAGTATAGGATATATCATTCTAGTTGTTGCAACAGGGTATTTATTTGGGATAGCTAAAGGTTTACCACTAGCTATGTTTGGTGCAAACTTTGGCCTGTTTGTAGCTCATAATGTTCTCAAAATGGTAGGCCATCATCACAGCATTTATAGGTAAGCTTAAAAAGGTTTGGTTTAATTTAGTGATATAAATGATATAACTTGTAGATATACTCAGAATGAAATGGCACAGGCAATAATGAGGGTAATAACTGGTCCATTGTGCTTCAAAATTGTACTTTGTTCAAGACTGACTCCTATTCCACTGGGGCTCCAGAATACTATATTTGCAGTAAGTATTTTGAAATGTTAATGTACCCATCACTCACAACTTGGTCTTATATGCATACTTGTTCAATGAAAAAAATCAATCGAGGTAGCGACATATTTACATCAGAGGTTATTTATATACTTTTAACTGTAAGTTTGTGTTGCAATGGTGAATTTTATTTTTTTAGATGAGTAATGTAAGTGGTAAAATTTACCACATAGCTTCCTTATTCGGATTTTTTCCTGCACAGTTGATTGGGGTTTATGTTGGTTCTACTCTACGTTCTATGCAAGATGTCATAGAAAACAAACATATATCTTCTGCTACATATATATTTGCAGCTATCCAGGTAAATTATTGGCAGTATTCATGTGTTTGATTCAGCAAGAGGCAATGTTCACACTTCAATATAATATTGATAGGATAATTGATTCTGTGAACAAAATTATATAATAATATATCTACTCTAATTTTTTCTATTTATACAGTTATAGCAATGCTGCAATTTGTATTTTGTATTTTCCTTAGCAATAAGAGTTTTTCATTTTTCATATAGCAACTTCTGGAAGATTAACCATTATTTTTGAAATATTCCCCTTTTAGTTGATAATGGGTGCATCAGTGATGTTATATTTGGGTACCAAAGCAAGAAAGGAACTGTTGAGGGTACTGGCAGAGGCAGATGATTCTGTAAAGTCTCCTGGATATTTGATAGCATGATATTTTTTATTAAAAATTGTGTGACAATGGCAACCAGAAGTCTGTTGTACATTTAGTCTCAGGAGCCTATCATAGAACTACTTAGTGATTCCAAACTTGTTACTATTCACCTTATACCATGTTTCCATCAGCATGTGTATTGGTAGTCAAACAATGGAATGGTATAATTGTATAAAAATAATCTGCTTGGATAGATTATTTCACTTGTTTATTTATAACTATTCTGCAATGTTACATTTTTTATTTCTACTTCAACTTTTTCAAGAGAATATTGAAGTTTTGAAATGCTAGTTTTAATATCTGTATTGTATGGCAGACTCTTGGTTTGTTTGGTGTTTTAGCATTTAACATTCTTGACCAAATATAGATCTAATGTTCTAGTAAATTATAACAAAGTTGATATTTTTGTAAAGACATCTATGTATGTACTGTGATAGAAATGTATGTAATATATAAATTTTTCGAAAAATAGTGTATCTATCTTAAAGATACGTCCTGTTTCCTCAAAGCAGTCAAGTCACAAAACCGCTTGGGTTTTGACGAATTCTTAGCAATAGATTATTACTATGATAAGATCGAAAAATCGAACCAGTTTAACGAGGGTGAGTTAATAAAAATAACTATTTTTGCCCACTGCATAATTTGGAAAATATCACTTTGGTTTTGACAAAAGTCTGACTCCTACAGTATTGGATCAAAAAAGTTCAAATCAACATCGAAAGAAAAAATACGATTACGCGAACGAAGGTTCCCGAGACATCACTGTTCAAAGGTTTAGTTTGGTTAAAATTGGGCAAATGATCCAATCCAAAATCGTCCAATACTCGCATAATTTTTCTTAAAACGGAATTGCGAATATGTGATTAATTATTGACTTCAGAAGCATTCTAACTTGTGGAATATAACATTCTATACGAGCATAATATACAGAATGTACAATTATTATATCACAGAGCACGAGGAAGTCGCATCACAAAAGGTTAAAACATCAAATATCCACACACTAAATCGTAGGTACCTATTATATTAGTATCGGTGCTTGTACGACGTGTACTATAATCAAAAATAAAAAAAATAAGTATCTCCGACAATACTGCCACTTCATTTCATATAAAAAAACATAGTCACAGATTTAGACCTTCAAATAGGTGTAGGTATACATTCAAAAATAAAAAAAAAATAATATACCAACACAACAAACCTAACATATATGCGATAAAGGGAAAAGCAATGAAGTAAGAACAATCGTATAGTTTCCAAAATAACATCTTTCATAAAATAGTATGCCCATATAGATATACAGGGTTATCCAAATTAAGTGTCCACCATTAGTAACTTTGTTATTAGTGAAAATACAAAGTTGTTTGAATTAGCAAACTAGTAGCATTTTTAACGCTGGTAAAAATGAGAAATAAAAAAAAACAATTGAGAGTCGTTATTTTGATTTTTTTCAGTAAAATAACATTTTTTTAAATGGAAACCCCTGTATATTATATTTTTTTCTGTTAAAGCATCAAATTTTAAACAAAAAAGCTTACAATAACTTTTCTCCTAGGTTACAAATTGTTGAAGTTATGGCCTCCAATCTGAAACAATTAAATTGTATCGACAAACTTTATTTTCAACATCAACTTATAATCTTACAAAATACAATAACAATTTTTTTTAAAAAAGATGCTCGAAAACACCACCTTGTTCTTCAATACATTTTTGGGCACGTTTTTCAACTGCTCGAACTGTCTTAAGTATGGTCCTAGCATCTATCTGGGTTATCTTTTCCCTAACTGCAGTCTTTAACGCGTCAAGGTTATCGTACCTTCGCTTGTAAATTTGGTTCTTTAAGTAACCCCACAAGAAGTAATCAAGTGGGTTTAGATCTGGTGATCTGGGAGGCCACTGTATTGGGCCATTTGTTCCTATCCACTGATCATTAAAAGTAGTACTTAGAAAATGATAACTACCTCTGGAGTTGTGGGCAGGTGCGCCATCTTGCTGAAAATGCAGATGATGTCTACTTATAAGATCCAATTCGTCTAAGAAATTAGTCAGAATTTCTGACATAAATTCCACATATCTTTCACCAGTTAGGGTTCCCTCATAAAAGAACGGGCCAACAATTTTTGAACCAATTATACCGCACCAAACGTTGAAACTGAAACGGACTTGTGGGCCTCTTGGATGTACTAACAAAAGATTTTTTCTTGACCAATAATGGTGGTTTTTTCTATTAAACATTCCAGAATTTGAAAAATTTGATTCATCTGTCCATAAAAGGTAACGAAAGTTATTTACATTTTGGCGACAGAAGCTAAGATACCAATGGCAAAAAACAAGTCTTCTCTCTGGATCCCCTGCCAAAAGCGTTTGAACTGGTCGGTACTTATACGGAATAAATTTGTATTTTTTTAAAATCCTTTGAACAGTACCATAACTGAAATTAGAGTCCTTGAGAAAATCTGCTATTGAATTCTCACGATAAGCTTCAAAATATCCAATAACTGCAATTTCCGTGGCCTCGCTTATTATGAATTCTTTTCTTGCCCTTGTTTCAGCAAAAACATTTTCGTTGCCCCTAAATTTTCGATAAAGTCTCAGAAAATATCGTTCATACGGTTGAATGCGAGCGGGATATAATTCACTGTAGTATTCTCTTGCTCTCAAGGAGGATTTTCTGCACACTAAATAGCATTCTAACATATCACACTTTTCTTCATGGGAGAACATTTTTCTTTAAATTAATGACACAATAAAGCTTATAAACAAGTATTTACACTAATGTTTGACATTATTTGATTTTATCATTGTTTTCCAAAGCCTTCTAGTTGCGAGTATGTCCAGTTTAACAATTTGTCGCTTATCTTAATGCTGTCAAATCGCGAACGCCATGTTGTTTTCATAGCCGTCTTAATATTATAATACTGCAAATAATTAAAAATATTTATCGTTATTTTGACTTTATTTTTGACTTTAGCGGAAAAGTCATTATGAACTTTTTTGTTTAAAATTTGATGCTTTAACAGAAAAAAATATAATATACAGGAGTTTCCATTTAAAAAAATGTTATTTTACTGAAAAAAATCAAAATAACGACTCTCAATTGTTTTTTTTTATTTCTCATTTTTACCAGCGTTAAAAATGCTACTAGTTTGCTAATTCAAACAACTTTGTATTTTCACTAATAACAAAGTTACTCATGGTGGACACTTAATTTGGATAACCCTGTATACTTACGTGTACCGTAGTCAAAATACTGAAATATGAAAGTTGAGAGGTAACATTATAAGGAAACATGTATGCAAAAGTGACGTTTCATATAAATATATCAGATACTAAAGACAAAATTAGGACTTACGTGTATGAAAGAGTCAATACGCTCAACACCAAAAGTTAATGGGGAAACAATAAGCAGGATCACAAAATACCTAAAAAAATCTTATCCTACAGCGCGTAACCAGAATCGTAAAAGCATTTTGTTAGCCGTATAACTGCATAGACGAGGCGAAATCCTTACATTCGCTGGAAACATGTTCCAATTCGATTATTGTCGTTATTACGTATACTGAAAGTCAAAATGGGTTTCCAATAAACTTGATTAGGAAAAAATCTTTCTTCCACGAATGCGAGAGGTTTTCGTCTAACAGAAATTTATGTAAAAGTGAATTGTCTTAACTCTCGACACCAAATACAACTACGGCTGAAATACCATACTTACGTGTACCATAGTTGAAATACTCGAGACGAAAATCAGAAGGAATGGAACATGTCCGACCATGTTGGAGTCAGAACCACGACCTGGCATTGTGATCGGACAAGAAAGGACTAGACTCTTTTTGAAGTACGATTCCCTTTAAATACAGCGAATTTCGCGGTTTCTGGAGCAGAAAAATAATAGCCAGGGGTCAGACCGGATTAGAAGCGGGAATAAGGGAGTTTTGGTTAGATTGAAATGTGTTTACTTCACTTCTATTCAGCTAATGTGATGTTTACAGGGTGTTACTTTTATTTCCAAAGCCAGGGGCGTGAAAGAATTGCATGTTATATGACATGTAGGCAGTGGCGGCTCGTGCCAATTCAGTGAGGTAGTGCCAGAATGGAAGCCATAATTTTGAATCGATTCAAAATTGTAAAGAATAACTTATAACTTACCCCTGATAGTTAGTGGTCAAAGTTCTTGAGGTTCAATAAATCTATATGTCCAAAAAAAAATCAAAAATAAAACTATTTACACACGCGCACCAAATTATAAAACAAGTGTGGAGAAGTACCTATAACTTCAAAGTTTTCTATACATGAAGTCCATTCTTCTTTCTTTTTTGGTAGCAAAGTTTTCGATTACCTTATTATTAAAATTTTCAATGCCACTAACAAAATGTTTTTCTGCAGACAGCATTCCTAAAGCACTAAGCCTTTCTTCCTTCATTGTGTTTCTGAGGAAAGTTTTAATCCGTTTCAGCATTGAAAAAGAGCGTTCTGCTTCAGATGTTGACATCGGTATAGTGATTAAAATACTTAAGAGCTTAAGAGTTTCTTGAAACGTACAATTTAATCCTTCCTCGTTCAATAAAATGGATAGTGGAACAGCTCCAGAAGTAGTACTCAATTCTTCTCTCTGATATAATACTTGTAACTCAGTTTTAAGCCTGTTTTTGTCTAAAAATGAAAATTGTGTGCATGTGTCATTTAAATGTGCTTCAGGAAACTGATGTTTATAAACAGAAAACTTTTCAGACACAAATAAATTAGAAGCAACTAAATGCCCAGAAAAGTTAAATCTTGTTCTTATTTGCGATAATACTGCATCGCATATTTCTAACGCTTCCCGTTTTTTGCTGCCTTCTTCAACTTGCCTTTTTTTTCTTGCCGGTTCATCAGTTTCTCTCTGCACTCGTTCAATCTCGTCAATAATGCTATCCATTTGTTCTCGTATAGTTTGAATTGCTGCTTCAAAATTCTCTAAATCATTTTTGACCTTAACAGAATCGGTGCATACTTTTTGTAATTGGTTAAAGACAATTTCAACATGTGGCATTATTTTATGGAATATACTTAGCCAAAATACAAAATTTGTATCTTGCAGCTTTAATTTGTACCCACTGGCTTGATTAATCGACGAAGAATCGCGTGAAGTACTTTCTATATTGTCCATAACTTCAATCAGGTCTTTCCTATTTTCATAAACTGTATGAACACCTCGTGACTGAAAATTCCAACGTGTTTGGGAAGATCTTGGCAATCTGCGATTAACTATTTCATCCAAAATTTTTGTTCTTTGAGGAGACGTCGAAAAAAAAGAGCACAATCCAGATAAATTATGGAAAAATATTCTAGCCTGCTTATTGACAGAGCATGCGCTTGTCATAATTAGATTTAACTGGTGTGCATAGCAATGAACATAATTTGCAAGTGGATAAGTTTCCTTAATAATCTTTTGAACGCCATTCAATT